TTTCTGGTTGAGTTTTAGTTTCTATGAAGCAACAATTGAAGAAAGCCTACTATGGACTGGTATTAGTTTTCAATGCACAAACTCTAAAAGTGTGTGTTAATATTGTTTGTCAGTCATGGGCTGTTGACATGTTTTTGAAGTTGCTTTGCTGACAGGGTGATATATTAATTACCCCATTTGCACATGATTTTCTTACTGCTCAAGTTGTGAATGATGTCATACTTATTGAGTAATATGTGTTTGTTACTGATGATATTTTGTCCTTTTAAATGAAAATGTCAACAGGCAGATAAAAAGGACATTGTTGGTCTGCAGGAGCAGGTGATAATAAAAATTTTATTAATTAAACCTTTTTTTTTTCATTTTTGGAAACTGAAATTGGTCTCTTGCTTCAGGTTTTTGTTCGAAAGGTGATTGAGCTTCATGACAAGTACCTGGCATACGTGAATGATTGTTTCCAGAATCATACCCTTTTCCACAAGGTTTTGAATAGAGTGGCTTTACTATTATGTTGGATTGATATGCGGGATTGCGGGCATGTAAATCTAAAAGTTTTGATCATATAGGCTCTTAAAGAGGCTTTTGAGGTCTTTTGCAACAAAGGTGTTGCTGGAAGTTCAAGTGCAGAACTGCTTGCTTCTTTCTGCGATAACATTCTTAAGAAAGGAGGAAGTGAGAAATTAAGTGATGAAGCAATTGAAGAAACTCTTGAAAAGGTCTGCATCATTCTTGATGTTCTGTACATACTTCTATAAACGTGATGCATATGATTCTGACTATTGAATTTGGGTTTTGTTTTGGTCTATCTGTAGGTGGTCAAGCTGCTTGCCTATATTAGTGACAAAGACTTGTTTGCTGAATTCTATAGGTAATGTAAAAGAGAAGAGGAAATTTGAGTGATGATGATTAAGTTGGATATACAGGCCCAAAAAAGGATTTGAATATTGCCTGGCTGGTGCTTCAGTCTTTCTCTTTTAGCAGTTATTCCCAGCATTGCATAGGTTCATCTTGTAACTGTTCCATAAAAATTACTTCCACTTTTTTCTGGTTGTTTCTGATAAGTAAAGGTGGCGTTGCATGTAGAAGATGTTTCCCCTATTTTAAAGATATAATATCAATCTTGAGCCTTCGTTATTTTGGGAGAGTTGGTCCTTGACACAATATCAATCCTTGCCATTCCTATTACTGTAGTTGAATCTTGGAATTGTCCACATTTCAAGCCCAAAATGCTCTTGGTTAAGTGGACATATTAAGTGATATAAAAGCTATTGGGAGAATTGGTCCTTCATTCATCTAGAAAGTGGGATAAATGTTTTTGACAAAGGTTAACATTGATATGAATGAGTAGCTAAAATAAAATAGATAATAGTGGGGTAAAATATAAAATGAGGAGAGAAAGTAGAGTGCAATTATATCAAAAAGAAAAATTATTTTTAGTTTTATATTTACTTTTTTACCCCTGGAAATTTTATCAGTTTATCTACCTGACATGATGATGCAATGATAGTTTTGGAATTTTCAGGTCAAAGTGTAATGATGGAAAATGTCTTCCCTGTCCTCTAATATTAATATTAGAGATACTAAACATACCTCTGTAGTTTAGCAGTATATAACATAACAATATTTTATGATGATATTTAATAACACTCCATTGGCTTGTAATCTTCTGCAGTTTTCAGGGCTAATTTAAAGCTGTTTTCTGTGTATATATCAATGTCAGAATTATCCTTTTTGTTTATGTAAGATGTTTTGAAAAGGAATGTTAATACAGGGTTCTTGCTTGGTTGCTTTCAGGAAGAAGCTTGCTCGAAGGCTTCTCTTTGACAAGAGTGCCAATGATGATCATGAGAGAAGTATTTTGACAAAATTGAAGCAACAGTGCGGTGGACAGTTTACCTCTAAAATGGAAGGAATGGTCAGCCTTTTCTAGTCTTTGTGAACAGAAGCTAATATGCTATATTCAACTATTGTCGGTTGGTTGACAAGAAAAATTTATATCCTTTTTCACTCCTACCAGGTTACAGATTTGACACTGGCAAAGGAGAATCAAACTAGCTTTGAGGAGTATTTAAGCAATAATTCCAATGCAGACCCTGGGATAGACTTGACAGTTACAGTTCTGACTACTGGCTTCTGGCCTAGTTACAAATCTTTTGATCTCAATCTTCCTGCAGAAATGGTAATCTGGATCTTCTTTGTATAAACAATCTAGAATTTGGTGCTAATTGTTGACACTTGATACTACTAAACCTAGATCTTGGTTATAATTAATACCTTTCTCTTTATTATTTTTTTATTTTTATTTTTAGATTAGGTGTGTTGAAGTTTTCAAAGAATTTTATCAAACTAAAACGAAGCACAGAAAACTTACATGGATTTATTCCTTGGGTACCTGTAATATAAGTGGGAAATTTGAGCCAAAAACTGTGGAACTGATTGTTACAACCTACCAGGTAATATTACTTGCCTTCCTTTACTTATCTGTAATCATGTAAATGTTATGCCCTCACCTGTTCATTTTTCACATTTGTGATATTCATGGATTTTTGTATAGATTTCTGCTAACCCAATGTCTCGTTTTTAATAGGCTTCGGCATTGCTGCTTTTTAATTCCTCAGATAGACTGAGTTATTCAGAGATAATGACTCAGTTAAACTTATCGGATGATGATGTTATTAGATTGCTCCATTCTTTGTCATGTGTCAAGTACAAGATTCTTAACAAGGAACCAAATACAAAAACAATATCATCCACTGATTATTTTGAATTTAATTCTAAATTTACAGACAAAATGAGGAGAATCAAGGTATAAAAAACATGTTTTAGCCTTTACTCGTTATTTATTTGTTTGGTCATCTCAATCTCTATTCTATTTGGTGACTTTTGAGTGGAATTGACACATTTTTCATGCAGATTCCTCTTCCTCCCGTGGATGAGAAGAAAAAAGTCATTGAGGATGTTGACAAGGACAGAAGATATGCTATTGATGCCTCAATTGTGCGTATTATGAAGAGTCGAAAAGTTTTGGGCTACCAACAGTTAGTCATGGAATGTGTTGAGCAGTTGGGTCGTATGTTTAAGGTTCATATTTGACCACTCTCCAAACATAATTTTGTGTCTGCTTTTCTCTTTCGATTCCTGAATTTTTTCACATGGAATGTAATTGCCCAGCCTGACGTCAAGGCAATTAAAAAGCGGATTGAAGATTTGATTTCTCGAGACTACTTGGAAAGAGACAAAGATAATGCAAATTTGTTCAAGTACTTGGCTTGATGCAGTCTTAATGATCGTGCAAACGAAGTGGGTACTGCAAAATCAAAACAAAAGAATCGTGTTGAGCTTTTGCAAAAACGGAGTTTTTTAAAATTTTCCTTGAATGAGGAGCTGCGAGTGCTTTGTACATTTTGCCTCCATATCCAGGTATGGACCATTACTGTAGTTGTGTTCATCTTGGGACATTGTCATCAATTCCATAATCCACCCCACTGGTATACCTTCCCCTGACCACCTCTTTTGCTTCTGATTGCTGCAATTCCTTCTCACAACATATTTGATGCCCATCTGTTATATTGCCGCCCCCTCCCCTCCCCCTCCCCCAAGAAAAGCTGGAGAAATCGTGTAAGCTCCTGGGAAATTGTATTGTGATTATCATCTTAGAAATCATCAGGTTAATGGGTATGTTTTTTAAATCTAAACCCAACAGCTATGGTGCTATACGCCATTTGTCTATGATAATATTTCATAGCGACCACATCTACTTCATTTTGTAATGTCTACGATATTTGATAACTGTCCGAGGATAGGATTGTCCCAACGATTCTAAGATCATATATGATGTTTGTCTTACCGGTGAATGCTGCTTATAATTTCGAGGGTGCGGCCGTATCTTTAGTTCGCATTTATATTCCGGGATATATGACTCGTGAAATAATCCTTCTAGTGTGAGTGTGTTGTGCAAATCTGGACACCGTTAATATTAGCCTCTTCATTGGCAATTAGGAAATAAATTAGTTCCGAAAATTGAGAAAGCTTTGGCGGAAGCCAACTTCAGTGATGTCCATGATTCGACCAAATGGTGTTGTGAATCTTGGCACCCCCAAAATATTGCAGTTTCTAATAAAAGCAGTACTTGCCAGCTTTTACAACTTTTAAGATCTGGTAGGATTTTATCACATAAAATAAAATTAAAAATAAATTATGAGAAAACACTCGTAAAAATGATCATGTTTAATAATACTCTTGAAAATGCTTACTCAATAATTAATATTCGTAAATTATATTGGTCATTGAACTAATAAATAGAAACTGAAATATGACCAATGATTTTATATATAACTTGACTAAATGTTACCAAAAGTTGAATCGGAATGATGGTTAGGAGCTTGGGGTCTCAAGTTTAATTCTCAACCTGAGCTTTTAATTTTTGAATGATTGAAGTCGAACCCAATCTTCATAAAGATCAGTCAATTTTTCTCGGTTTCACCGGTTCGACAGTTTTTTTTTTTTTTAAATTATAAAAATTATGTATAGAAGTTAACTTTAAAATGTTATGCACCTAAGGTTGAAGTATGATTCCTGTTTTTAGCAATTTATGTGGGAGACGATTCATCTATACTATTAATTTTTTTTCCCTCAAATTTTATTGTAAAAACTAAAATGAAAAAATGGTCTACATAAAGTTATATCGCGCGCGGTTTATTAACTAGGATTTTCTGAACTCTGATTCTCGACGGATCTTTGAGAACGGTCTTATCTTCGAGGTTAATTAAGTAATTATAAATAAATAGATTTCTTGAGAAAGTTAGCTAAGAAAACAGTTAAAATTGTAACTCTGCTTTTCAATGAATTCAAATTACATTCGCTAAGTAAACAGTTTCCATAGAAAGAAAGCAAATAACATGTTCCAGAAAAAGAAAAACAAAAAGATAGCATATGGTATGACTAAACTATCAATGAAATCCTCTACTTGTGACCCACGTTCACACTCTTGATTAAAGTGTTCAGATTTTGGCGAAGTCCAAGGCCTTTTTCCCCTGTAACCTGTTTGCTGCATAGTGTGCAGTGTACTCTCCATGATTGTAGCTTCTAAACTTTCTTGGGTTGTTTTGATTCACGAATTGTGGCATTGGACTTATCTCCACCTCATGGCTAGGAGCATAATATGACGCAATTGAAAGTCGATCTCTCTCTTCATCAACCACAACTCTATGCTCCACACTCTTGTATTTTCCATTTGTCAGAACCTACATAATTGCTTGCTGCCTGTTATGAAACTCAAATTCCTATGGACACATACCAAAACAGAAAAAAGAAAAAGAGAATGAGAAGTCTTACTTCCATTGTGTCACCAATGTTCATGATAAGGCCATAAGGCATTGAATTGACAGGCACCCAGGTATCGTCCTTCAGTATTTGAAGTCCCACTGGGCTTCCGCTTGATTGATGCAGCACACTTAGAGCACTTCCATCTGAATGGGGACTCAGACCCAATACAAGATCAGGTCTTGAACAAGGAGGGTAGTAATTTATCCTAACGGCTTGCATTGCCTCACCAAACATCTTCTCAAAGACATCCCCTTTCAAGCCCAGCCCTATAGCTATGTATTTCAGCATTGTCTGGCATACTTTCCTTACTTCTTTTGAGTACTCTTCCACTGTTTCACTGCAATTTTTTGACACAAAAATAGTAGTAATAGTAATTAGTAAACCAACATACACAGTGAACTTTAGTCTAGAACATAGATATCCTCGGAATCATCCACAAAATGGTAACGTGATAATGGACTATAATTAACTAGTATTTTTGTTACCTGAAGTTGGCTGGCCTCTTTGGCCATAGATGTGAGTACCTTAGAAAATCAGGTTTAATTACAAGACCAAGCATGTTGCACCAATCCAACTTCTGGTCCTCCGAGAAAACAAAAGCCTGGCCATAACCTTGAACTGTACCTGGAGTCAATGCGTATTTCTTTTTTTCTTCCAAAGGTAGCATGAAAAACTCCCTTGTGCTCTCCTCTATGCTCTCCATAAAACTGCCGTCAATGGCACTAAGTAACTAATGAAAGAATCAACATCTATCAGTTTCGTTCCATATCATCATGTATTTTAAAAAAAACTAAATAGTTAAGGTTTCAAAAATCAAAGGATGTTTAGGCGATAGCGGTAACTTAATATTAGTCTTCAAAGTTAGTTTTTGAACCTTACATGACTTTAAAACTAAAGGCTGCAGTTTACCTGAAAAAAACCCCACTTCTCACAAGCATATGCAAGTCTAGAAATTTCATAAAGGATTTCTTCCTTGTTTCCTCTTGTAAGCCTGAAAAAATCAATACTGGGCATTATTGAAAGTGATGCTGATAGGGATCTCCCAAGTGTTGGTCTTTCTGTTATATCTCGTACAAATCTTTCAGGAATTATGTTCGGTTGATTTTTTCTCAGTTCTTGAACATCATCAACGTTCCCAGCATTAATGGGAGGATTGGGTACAGGAAAAGCAGCCATGCAACCAAAACTGGTGATAGAGTTTTTGATGATCTCTCTTACTTTGTGAGTTTCTGAGGTATTAGGCTTCAGGTAGAATTTGTTTGATTATATAAGGGTTTGAGTATCTTTCGGAATCTTTTTAACAATATCTTTTCATTATTAAAAAAAAAACAAGTTTTTTTATGTTAAATTTAGTAAGTTTTTAATGCATATTTATAAGTTAAAATATTGTTTCTTAATCTATTAATTTGATATAATATGTTAAAATATTGAAATTAAATTTAAATTGAGATTAAGATTCCGATAATTTTGAAATCATAAAGATGTTTACTATGATAGTTATATAACATTTGAAGTTTAAATTAACAACATTTAATCATAACATTACATATCATTAATATAAAAAAATTACACAATTTACTGATATTTTAGAAAAATACTCTTATTCAAAGTGATGATGTGTAATATTGGAATGGATTTGATAAGATTGGATTCTTCTATCTTTTTGAAAAATTATTTTATTTCACACAATATCACTTTATAAACAAATTTTTTTTCTTAAAATATCAACTATTACATTACTTTTTTTATCGAAAACTATTTACATTACTTTTTTTAAATATTCAATCAATGATATATTCCACTTAAATGTATTTATTGTCATTCTTATCTTTTTTAAGTTTTAAATTAAAAATTTTAACTTAATTATATATATTTATTATAGTTTTTTCAACTAGTGTATTTAATTTTTTTAAAATTAACCTTCCATACTTTATTTGTGCTTTTATTTTTCTTCACTTAATTATAACTTTTAGTTTATATGTTTTATAGTTTGTATGAATTTTAAAGTTACATGAGAAATTTGTTATTATTAAGTACATGCAAAACAAAATCCTCATAAGACTTATGTGTCTCGTCATTATAAAATTTTGACACTAAATTTGTACGTATTGGACATTGCCTTTCTAGTTTTAAAATTTGAAAAAATTTACGCGTGAAAAGACGTATGAGAATAATATATATATATATATAAAGTAAATCACAACAAAAAATTATTTATACAATAAAATAAGATATAAAACGAAAAAAGAAAGAAAGTGTGAAATAAAATGATTGATGAAATAATAGTAATATTATAAAAAGTAAGATCCGATCATACTTGATATAAATATTTTAAGAATTGTACTAGCTTGAGATTATCTTAATTCTTAGACATCATAATAATGTACCCAACATTAATGAGAGGATTGGGAATGAAGAAGCAATCATGCACACAGAATTTGGAGGTAGAATTTCGGCTAATCCACCCTTGGATGTTACAACTTGGAAGTAGAGACTGAACAAGGGATCTGAGATATAGTCCAAATTGAACTGCTGAAGTTAAAGAAGTCAAACAGGTAGGTGAGTAGTCCAATATATAATAACAAGAATTGCCTACTCCAACAAAACTAGATGCTGAACCAAACAATTCCAATCAAGCAGCAACCAAAATTAGTATTAGAAACCAGGTTAGAACAACCACATGAAAGCAAACAATTTCACAAATGACATTCTCATAATGTCAATATGTAGCAACTTTGATACAGGGCTACAACAACTTCAGCAAATAAAATGTGCGAAAATATATATTTTTCATATAACCTTTAATTTTAACCTAATAACCATTAGCATCAAGAGTCGTTAAAATGAGCCAAAATTTTGAATTTTATCTTAATAGTCTTCTATATAGTTTTATTTTTTTTAAAGTCCTATAGTTAGTAAATTTACATTGATCCTGAGCTTCAAAATAAAAAAAATAAGTAGGTTAGGGTCAGGGTTAAGAGTGATTTAACTCACTTATTTTTTAAAGTAAATAATAACTATTATATATTTTTTATAATATTTATTAAATTATTTTATTTAAATAAATTAAAAATTATATTTAAAATATAAAAATTAATTTTAAAAATAAAAAATATTTATTCAATATATTAAAATTTTATCATAAAAATAATATCAAATATAATTATATTATAAAATTAAATTAAATTTAGCTTTTGCATTTGTTTAATTTTATTAATTAAATTTAATATAGTACATTAATAATTTATGATTTTAATTAAGAATTAGTATTAAATATTTTTAACTAAACAATAATTAAATGATAAAATAATATTTTATAAAATACTATTTAATAATTATTTTAATAAATTCAATCAATTCTACCATGTTTAAATATTCTTTAATGACATTAATAATTCTAGATTCATTATAGCTTAAGTTTATACATGGTTTGATTATTTTTAATATAAATATAAGACTAAACCCTCATTTTAGTCCTCAAGAGAGGTTAAGTATAATATTTTAGTCCCTAAAAAATTAAAAATATCACGTTAATTTCTAACTTTCTTCTCCGTCATTCATTTTAGTTCCTACACTCAGACTCAGTTAAGAAACCATAATAGAAAGCTAACTTGTCACGTTAAGTATTATGTCAGATGTTCAGGTGACAAGAAAAGATGTCGTTTGGAAAATAAATGTGGCAAAATATCTTTAATTGTAAAAAAATGGCATTGTTCTGTGAACGTGAATTTGGGTGATATTCTTGGTGAGATTCTGGCATATTTACTTATAGTTCTTCACAAATATAATCTTAGATCTCAAATCGTTCTACTTCCTAATACTAAAGGAGAAATGCTCATTCATGTCGCTGCTAGTTATGGACACTACAGCATCGCAAGGTTACTAATTGAACATGTTAATCCTTTTCTTCTTGACATTGAGCATGAGATAGAAACAAACAAGAACTACATTAAAGTCAAAAACTGCGATGAGAACACTACATTATATGAAGCAATGAGTAATCATCATATTAAAGTAGTTAAGGTTTTGCTACAAATGGATCTCATTACTCTTACTCTACTAACAAGTCTCCAACAGTAGACCGGTGCTGCATTTTGTTAGAACAAATTGGGGATTTCTTACACTTTTGAAATGATGGCACTATTAGAGTTTATTGATGGGTTGAATTAGCGTCTTTAAAATTATTAGATCTGAGTGGCAATAGCATTTCTCCTCCTTTGTCAGAGTTTAAGAATGACTTGAAATCTGTTGTTGTGGAGAACACTCTCTTCAATGGTTGCTCTGAAGTTCTTTCCTCAAGGGCTAACAATCCTTCAACCAATGTCATGCAAAATGACGTCGTTTTTAACAATTAAACTGTTTTGTTGCGTTCCTTTTTCAAACGATATTATTTTTTTGCCAACTAAACATCTGATATGACACTTAACGTGACAAGTCAGCTCTCTATTACGGTTTATTAACAGAATCAGAGTCTACGGACTAAAATGAATAACGGAAAAGGAAGTTAGGAACGAATATGATATTTTAAATTTTTCAAGAACTAAAATGTTGGATTCAAAATGAGGGTTTAATTATAAATATAAATATGTAAATGTTAAATGATTAATTTTAATAAATTATATATATATATATATATATATATATAGGTATAGATAAATTTTTTATTATTAAAAAAATATAGTTGTTAATAAACACTTGAAATTCAATAATTAGTAAATATTTACATAAATCAACTTATAAATAAAAAATTAAATTATTAGTTAGTTTATCAATTTATATGTAATATATAAGTATGTGTTTTAATTTATCGTATACAAACTATTTTTTTATATTACATTAATGCTATAATATAGTTAATTTTATGTATATTTATAAGTTTAAAATAATAAATTAATTAATAAAATAAAATTAAATATTATATACATATATATATATATATATATTGCATTTAGTTTAAAATTTTATATAAAGTTTTATCACAATTTTTCTATTAAGAAAAAAATTTAAAAACACAAGTTACTTTTTTGCATCTATAAATTTTATAATCTAAAATATTACATATCTATAATTTTTATGATGAAAATATTTATTTACTTTTTTGAGCATATTAACTTTTATTCAGGAGATTTGACAAATTTTATCAGTGTTATTTTTTGTTGTCAATTTTATAAATTTATTAAGACTTTATTTATTAAATATAAAATATTTTTATATAAATAAAATACGATCCTCAGAAAAAAAATATATAATAATTTTATAAAAATAAATCAACAAAAATAATAATATAAAAATTTTATAATATGAAATAATTTATAGTTAATACTCAAATAATATTTTAAAATTTATTTATAAAGTTATATAAAAAATTATTATAATTATTTTATAATTATCAATAATACAGATAAAAATTATATAAAAAATTGTTAAAATTATATAATAATTGTTACTTTTATTAATTTTATTTAATAACAATAATTATTATAAATATTTAATATTATATAAATTTTATTTTTATTTTTTAAGTAATTTTATTAGACTATAAATTTATAATAAAAAATATTATATAAAATAAATATTTTTACTAAATATTTTAATAATTATCATAATTTATATTGAATAACTTCTGTAGGCTTTTTAGCCTTATAGGCTTAGAAATTGATAGACTTTTTGGCCTAACTTATATAAACTAGAGCTAGTGCTGGTTAAAAAGATTTTTTGACAGTTTACAGTTATTAAAAGAATTATTTTAAAGAAAATTAAATTATACTAATGCAATAACTAGAATGTCCTTCGAATTGTATTTTTAATAAGTCGTTTGCTGTTATTAAGGTTTTTTTGGAGAGTGAATTTAGTGATGAAGAAAGCGTGGAACCCCAAATTGGTAATATCCCTCTCTTTTTCTTCATGCTCTCTTTCTTGCCAATACAAACTATCCCATTTTCCCACCAATACTATCAAATCCTATTTCGTTGAAAAGCTCCAAACTTGCGAGGACTTAGCCTCTGCGACCTCGACCCACTCCAACGTTGTCAAATCCGGTTTTGGAAATGACACTTTTACCACAAACTATCTCATCAACTGCTATACAAGACTCTTTAGAATCGAGTATGCACAAAAACTGTTCGACGAAATGGCTCAGCGAAATGTTGTGTCCTGGACTTCGCTTATGGCTGGTTATGTTAACCAGGGTCGACCCAACATGGCACTTGGTCTCTTCCGTCAAATGCAAGGAACCTTGGTTCTTCCCAATGAATTCACATTTGCCACTCTCATCAATGCATGCTCTATTCTTGCCAACCTTGAGATCGGTCGTAGAGTTCACGCTCTTGTTGAGGTTTCGGGGTTTGGGTCCAATCTTGTTGTGTGTTCTTCCCTCGTTGATATGTATGGGAAGTGCAACCATGTTGATGAGGCTCGGAAGATCTTTGACTCCATGTGTACAAGGAATGTGGTTACTTGGACTTCCATGATCACGGCATATTCTCAGAATGCACAAGGACTCCATGCTCTACGACTGTTTAAAGAATTCAATTATACAAGCTTTGACAAACTGAATCATTTCATGTTGTGCAGTGCAATCAGTGCTTCTGCGAGTTTGGGAAGCCTAGGTTCAGGAAAAATCACTCATGGGGTGATCATCCGTCTTGGACATGATTCAAGTGACGTGATTGCCAGTGCACTTGTGGACATGTATGCCAAATGTGGTTGCGTTAATTATTCTGACAAAGTCTTTAGGAGAATCCCAAATCCTTCAGTGATTCCCTATACTTCAATGATTGTAGGTGCTGCAAAGTATGGACTTGGGACATTGTCTCTACAACTATTTCAAGAAATGATTGATAGAAGAATAAAGCCTAATGATATCACCTTTGTTGGGGTTTTGCATGCTTGCAGCCATTCAGGGCTCATAGATAAAGGACTTGAGCTCTTGAATTCCATGAGAAGGAAATATGGGGTGATGCCTGATGCAAAGCATTACACATGCATTGCAGATATGCTAGGCCGAGTGGGGCGTATTGAAGAAGCATACGGGTTAGCAAAATCAGTTCAAGTTGAAGGTGAGGGATATGCCTTGTTATGGGGGGCACTTCTTTCAGCTAGTAGGCTTCATGGCAGGGTAGACATTGCTCTTGAAGCCGGCAATCGGCTTATAGAGTCCAACCAACAAGTAGCATGTGCATATGTTGCATTGTCCAACACATATGCATTAGCAGGGGATTGGGAAAATGCTCATAATCTACGATCCGAGATGAAGCGTGCTGGAGTTTACAAGGAACCTGGCAGCAGTTGGATTGAGATAAAGGAATCAACATATTTGTTCCATGCCGGCAACGTCCCTAAATGTACTCCAGGGAGAGAGATGCTGAGCTTGCTAAGAGAATTGGAAGAGAGAATGAAGGAAAGGGGATATATGGGAGGGACTACAGGGTTGGTATTTGTTGATGTGGAAGAGGAGGCCAAGGAGCAAATTTTGAGTCTGCATAGTGAGAAACTAGCCTTGGCATTTGGACTAATAAACACACCTAAAGGAACCACAATCAGAATAATGAAGAACTTGAGAATGTGCAGGGATTGTCATGAGACCTTCAAGATGATTAGTGATATCGTAGAGAGAGAATTTGTTGTGAGAGATGTGAACAGATTTCATCACTTCAAAAACGGATTATGCACCTGCGGAGATTTTTGGTAATGATTTATCTTCGACCATTGTTAATATTTCTTAGAACAGTGTCCAGTCGGAGTGATTTTACCAAGCGATCAATTTATTTGCATAAATAAAGAAATAAACATGAGATTGGAGACACAGAATTTCAAATTAAGATAATTTTGTGTTCCATGAACAAAAAGACAATCAAAACAAAGACTATTGTTAAAGTTGGAACTGAAGGTAGGTTTATGTATTTTCCATTAAACGCTTACAAACATATACAAAATTATCTCTGGTCAACTGATATTAATTCTCTGTTACCTGCCAATTCAGAAAATTAAAAGTCTTATCCCTTTCCATCTTCAAATGCTTATCACCAAACTAACAGCATGTTTAGATTAACGTCGAATTTGCTCAAATGTAAATTTATTATTGATGTCAACGAAAATTTATTTTAACGCTACAAAATTTAACACAATTTTATAAATTTTTTAAACATATACTAAGTCATTTCTAACTAGATAATGACCAGTTAACATAAGTTAATTTTTCCTTAATATGATTTACGTTTAGAGTTAGAAACTATTGAACTCAATCACTTGTTGTCGTTACTTTTCGGTTTTCTGTTAAAGTCTATCTTATAGAAGTACTCAAATTAGATCAGTAATCAATTTCTAAGTTTTGCCGTAAACCTATTTTGTTACTTTCAATTACGTAAATCAATAGTTCAAACTGCACTTAAAGGTAAGACATTTTTTATTTTTATAGGAACTTTTGTACCAGAAACAATGGTATCTTCTTATTTTTTTTATAGCATAACAGAAATTGTGATAATCTAAGAATCGAGAACAGTCTTGATAAGTGGTACTAATAATTTAACCTTAGACATTTAAATTTGTTTAATCATATAAATAATCATTTTTTTCTTAAGTAAAATTTATGAAAATGCTATATTAAAAGAAGATTAAAAAGTGTAATATGTAAAAAGTTAAGCTGGAAAAAAAAAAGGAAGACTAACGGTACTTCTAGATAGGTTCACAAACACATCACATCAACTTGTTTGTAGCGAAATAAGTAAACTATGTACACTAATTAATGGTTAAATTCTCCCAATGATAAACATGAAAAGTCAAGGGCAGTAAAATGAATTGACTAAAAGTTATATTGCAATTTATTCCCAAATAAGGATATTAGTTATCCTTCAGACGTCAGTAAAATTAATATATACAACGGGATATTATCGCATGTTAAGCGAAAAAAGTACTTAGGAGAGAACCGTGGACATACAATAGCCGAATTTATTTATTCAAATAATAATAATTTAAAGAAAGAATAAAATTATGAAAGAATGAGGAAGAAAAGACTCTGTAGCGTCCACTTTCATCAACACAAGCTCAAGATGCACCTAATAAAACCAACCTGTCGTCAGTTAAAAATTATATGCTGAGAGATTACTAAACAGTGTATATTCAATTTGCCCATTAGACCAATAATATTAATGCCCCAAACAAAACCAAAATGCTGTCAAATATAAATTAAAAGCTGAGGGATTCGTGGCAAACATGGTGCATAGGCCAATTTAAATATGTTATCCGCTAGTAAACCAAATTTTAGTTTTAGTCTATCTAAAATTTGAGTTTTTAATTGTGTCCCTTTTTTTTTCCAAAATTAAGCAATTTTAGTCGCTTGGATTGTCATGGATCCAAGTATTGTGGCACATGAACTCCCAATTCACCATCGGTCAGGCATTAAATGGATATATGATAGATCACAGGAACGATCAAAAGTGCTCACTTTTAAAAAACAAATAGGACACAAACCAAAGATTAAACTTCAAGAAACTAATACCAAAATTTGGTATATTTTTAGGAACTGAAAATAATTTTTAAGTGTACAATTAAATTGTTAAAAAATATATATATCACAGTCAAACCCAAGCCAAATTTCGGTTGGTATAGCTCACAAACTGTATGCTGCACCAAATCTACCAGATAATTTTCTTTAAATGTAATATGCGCTTGAGTTCAGTAGCTGAGAAGCCATGGTAATGTCAAGGGTTTGAACCTGAGGAAAACACTTATGAGGAGGGAGACCATCATCAATTCAAAAGGAGGGACAAAAATGAAGTGTTTCATACCATCATTAGTCAAAACATACCTTGGTGATAGACACTGCTTGGAAGAAGCCAAATTGAGGGTAATACTGTACAGGCCAGTCTTTACATGATTGTATAATCACAGCACATCATGTGCTCTATACTCCAAAACGTTTATGTATCTAAAAATAAGTTACAGCAAAGAGACATCTATTGTTATTACAGTAAAACGTAGTAACATAATATTCAAACATGAAAGGAAAATAAGGCATACTGAATCAATATTTCAAAACACCAAAAGCACATATCAAACCCTGAATGAAACATGTAGAGGAAAATGAGTCTCACTGTCTCAGTATGCGAGACAATGTAAAGAAGCAGAATTGATAGAGATATCAATATACTCAGATAGGGGCATAGGGGACAAAGCCTTCAACTGATTTAAACAAGTAATGATAGAATAAGTAAAGTAATTATAGTTTTACCCATTGAATAGCTATCTTAATGTCTCCTTAAAGGTTCAATGCAGTTTTTGGCAAAACAGATGATAGGATTCTCATTGTCATCAAGGATAACGAGTATTCCACCCAATACAAAAGGAAACTGACCTAAAGTAAATTCTCGCATAAATCAAATATAAAAACCTTGCAAGCCTTGATCAAGCATAGAATGCATTACCAGCTAATATTCCTCACAAAGCACCTTCCCTGCACAGAATACCAAAGTCAACTCAAACTGCTGATGATTCCCCCATTACCAGATCCCAATGATAAACAAACAGTATATCACCTAGACAAATGCAGAAGTGAGAAGAAATACCTAGAGGCTAGAGCAAAGAACAGGTTTAACCATTGATGAGTGATGACTAAGTACCTGGATATCTGTGAATACTTTATTCCAAAAGTTGGCATGACCAATGTATAGGTTTGTACCAATGAGACACAAAAGAAACCTTTCTGCAAGCATTTCTAACTATTCATAACTTCACTATGATAACAGGAAAACAGGTGTTACTTAAACTGGTTATGACTATATCAGTATCCAAAGACCTCAAAACTGGTTGCCTAACATTTGCTGGTTCTATTTTCATTTTTCTGAGGCTCCAAATTATTGGAGCAAAGAATGTAGCACTGAACGATTACATGTTATCCATCCTCTGTCACTTAACAAGAGGGAATCACTTCCCTCTTTCTAACCCATAAAATTTGAGGGTGAGAGAATTGTGCCCCTATTCACATTAAGAAGAACCTGAACAATTAAAAATACATTCTAAAATTTGTTGATAATCTGATTTTGTACAAATGTACATAAGAGTAACATTGTGGATGACCTGCCCTCTTTGCAGGTTTCCAGGTGCCAGCACATGTAGATATCCTTGAACCACTTCCTTTCCGGATGTCATCTCAGTAGAGAAGGGAAAGCCAAAAAATACACATTATATACAGTATTGAGTTAATCTCTAACACCACCTAGACCAGCATGAGTTATTGCTTTTGTTGCAATCAAAACCAGATGTGCAAGCTCATCTACATCTTGGAAGTTGAAATCAACAACCTTCCTAATCAAAGTTATGCAATCCCTATTCTGTGCCTCTTCCATGATCAAATTGGCAGCCATGAAAGTGCTCTGGCATTTTCTAGAAGCCTCCATTGCAAAACTTATGTCTTGAGTCTGCAAAACCACATGCTAACTTTTACTCAGTAATTTTTTAACTATTACCAGCACATACTTTAATTAAACTTAATAAATATAAAAGCTAAACATATTATTTAAGAAGCAGGAAGAACAAAAGGAATAAACACTATAAGCTTGACAGTTTACCTCCAACAAAAACTATACCATGCATTGTATGACAAAAGCGTGCCAATTGCCAATATGATACTCAAATCACCATATGATTGTTATATACCAGAACCACTATTTGTGCTTTCATGGAATTACAGGCATGAGCCAAGATCTTGCATGCAACAGAAAACTGATTCTAAGGAAAACATCTGAACTTCCTATTTAGCATTGAAAGACCAGCTTCCTTCCATGTTGACTTTTTCCAAACAATCAATCTAGTAGTCTAGTACAGACCAATTTCCCAGACTTTTCCAAATGAAAAATAAGGTGAGTCAAACTAAAACTTACAAAATTGAGAAGTCTGACAATATTTGGGCAATTTTGAGCAGATAAGACTTGATTATTTGCAACATGAGTATTAGTACCCCTTTTCAAAGTAGCCTTATCCAGTACCGCCAGGTTATTTAAATTATCAATGTCAGATGCAGAAGATGAAGGAGATTCACCTAAAGAATAGAGTAAAAGATCAGTGAAACAACACCATAAAGTGATGCTCAACTAGCCTGAAGACATACATCTAAAGTCAAAATTGTGTTCAATTACCTTGAGAAATCATTTGTAGAGTTGATTGCAACCCATGCCAATCCTTGTTTATGCTAGAATGTTTACAGTAAACCAGTCTCATGTATACCACCTCCATGCATTTATATGCCAAAGCAGCTGCAGCCATTTCTTGGCGTCTTTCATATTTACGGGCACAGGATCTGGAACACATTTTATGGCATTGTATAATTAAAGGGAAGCTAAGGCAAATAGATCAAAGAAAAGACAAAGTCCACCAAGATTCTAGCAAATAAATTCTAGTGATTGAAGGGCACTGTGTCTGTCTTGTACCAACAGTTTTAACAAATGAGAAGTATGCTTTTAACAGCACAAAGCAGCAATGAAACAGAAATTTAATTGAGCTAGGAATTATGAAAGCACTGATGACAATGCTATGTTTTAATTGAACATAGCGGTTGCGCCTTGAAGGAGTATTAATAGAAGAAAGTGATTTGCCGTTGTGTCACATAAATGACATAAAAGACCCCATCAGATCCAAAACATGTTTAGGTTACAGACAGTCCATACGAAGTTGAAGTCCCAAAAGGAAAGTTTGAAATCACCAATTTACAGAACATTCTCAAACCCTTTTTTTTTTAACAAAAAGTAATTTGACCAATAACATTATAAATCTAAGAACTAGGATCATTAAAGTAACAAATTTACACATAGCTTCTGTTAAGAAACTTGGGCATAACTCGTGTTAACAACTTCCAATTTTACTTACTCAAAAAGTTTAGCAGTAGTAGCATATATTTGCATTTGATTCGTCTCTCTGTGCTTGCTACCCTCGCTGTGACAATTTTCTAGAAGTGATGCTCCATGCAGAAACTTCAAGGCAGCTTTAAAATAAGTCTCATTACTTTCAAACTCAAACCCAGAGTTCTACAGTCAGCATTTAAACCATCAGTTAGAAAGAGAAAGATGTTACATCAAACAAACAGATGTGAAGTAAAATCTTTAAATGATAAGGTAACCTTATAATGATCTGCGGAATCTTTTAGTTTTTTGGCTTCTTCCAGAATGCTAAAGGCAGTTTGGCCAGAATATGTAGTCGAGGGACTTGACTCACTGAGCTGTCCATCAGGTGCGTAACTTCCTGAAATGCAATTAACTCCAACATTGCAACTAATATCAACTGAATTTCTCACTAACTTGGTGACATCACCATTGCCAGATGCATGAGCTGGATGCCCATTAGACATATCTCCCTTCTGCGATCCAGGTGCAATTCTGGAACCTACATACAATGTTTCCCTTTTTGCTTCACCCTCTGAAGATGAGAAAACTTTAGTTTTCCCATCTCTTGATCCAGTGTATACCGGATTAGCTTTGTTTTCTTCCTTAAAGTTCTGACTTAGGTTCTGCTGAGAGATAATCTTTCTGTTAGTGCTACATGGAGCATCTGCTTTCAGAACTGAATTTGCTGAATCTTTTTGTTTTAGCTCAGTTTGTTTACCAGTTTCTTTTGACAAATGCCTTGAATTTTTCTCGCGAAGGTTGAACTTTGGAGAACCTTTTTTAATTTCATTTCTTGTCTCAGTACCAGAAACGTGATGACTAGCATCACCTGCTGACTCATAACTCTCACCGTTTTTGGAAAAACCATTATCAGAAGCTGAAACCTTCACTTTATCCCTATTAACCTCAGGACCAGAACTTCTGCCCTTTTCCTTAACCCGTAATGATGTAATCTTACCAGATTTCTGCCAAGAAAGTGCATTTTCCTGATTAATCTTGCTCACTTTCTCCTCATGATGCAAACCATTGCCACAATGACCATGTTGTGTAGGATATAGGCTATATGAAACCCTCTTATCCTTCAGTTTCAGTGATAACTTTCCCTCCCTGTTATCCAAACTTTTTTTGGAACTCATTGACAAGAGACCACCTTTTCTAGCACCATTTTTTTCTGATATGTGCCCGGTTGCCAAACTACGCCTGTCCAAGTTGGAAGTCCTCAAAGGTGTCGAGGTAACAGATTCAACTGGTGAGCCTCTCACATCTTCAAGGTTAGTTCTAGCTTTATGAGACCCTGAAACCTTAGAAGAGCTAGAAGTTGCTGCCAATGAAATTTGTCCAGAGCCCAAATCCTTCCCCAATGAATCCAAAGCTTGGTAAGAAGTAACATTTTTCTGGTGCTTCCTTGGCTGCCAGGCCTTATCAACACTTTTCACCTCTGTCCCAACAGTCATTTGGTCCCTGCTGTCTGACAAGAAACCTTGCTTCATTCCACTTTCTCCACTCAATTCATCATCACCTTCAGTTACTGATTTTGCCTTAGTATTCAAAACTATATACTTCTTCTCCTTCATAAATCCACTTACTTCGCCCTCCTCCCCACATTGCTTGTCACCTTCTATGGACAATGCATTGTTATGTCTCTCATTACTGAGCCAGTCTCGCAATTTCCTTTTCTTAATCAAACTATTTTTGGTACAGTTAGTTGCATCTAATGAACCATCATCTGACGAAAATTGTGCCTGGTCTCTTTTCTTTACTGGAACTACCAGCTTGTCCTGTAGATTGTCAGGCAAACAATAATCATCATATTTCCTCGTATCCTTCCCACTGGACTTTCTTGAAAAACCATTTCTTGAATTTAGATCCTTCTTTTCAAATTCCATGTCAGAATTCAGTTGTTTATCAGCATGGCAAACATCTTCAGTCTTAGATTTCTTTGAAGTTTCAGATCTGTATTCATTAGCCTCCATTTTAAGTTTCAACTTAACAGAATTCCTGTCACCTGCACACATTGGAAAAACAACATTAACATGTTCAATTAAAAAATATTGATATGCACCCTAAACTTAAATATGAAGCAACAATATAATATATCAAGCCTAAAATGAATGAGATACCTCCATTCATTTGCTTTTCTTTCTCTTTACGTGTGTTTTTCTCTTCTATCAAATTTTTCAACTTACTCAAATGTTTAGAACTAGATTTCTTCACACAGTTTGAGTCTGCACGCTTCTGATTCATGTTAATCAAGCTTCTATTTTTTACAGAGTCTAGAGCATTGTTCTTTTCAGTGTTTGAAAATTGATGAATGTTGTTATTGATTCCTGTCTTTGCCTTTCCCTTAATACCAAGTTTCTTCTTTCCTTGTTGATCAAACATTCCATCAGAACTGGACTTTTTGTAATTCAGGCCAAGCTGCAGAGCATCAACAGATCTCACTCTGGTTTCAGGTCTGGTGGCATTACTTTGCATGTTATTTTGGCCCTCAGTAATAGGCATTTGATATAAGGCATAAAGTGCTTTTGTTGTCTCTTCCTCACTGATGTTACACCGATTCATTCCAGGGCTAACAACAATTTCAGAAGAACAATGATGTGTTAAAAATACATACAACACAGACCAAATGTATGCACACATGGAGAAAGAATAAAACGAAGTACAATTTGCATATCACTCTAGATACTGCTCAATTCTGCTTATAATACACATCAGACTAGGTTTTTAACTAGCATAATATGCTCATAAATGAATCCAAGTTGAGAATAATCAACTTACAGCCAATATAGCATGCTACACAACCATTTCTCTGGAAGCTGCTCTGGCTTTAAACCCATAGGTAGAAGCCGCCATTTTTGGCAACTGTCACAGCATACCCAATCTTCTTCAATAAGTTGAGGTGCAGCTGCTGCTGATGGTGGAACCACCTCAGAAGTTGGTTTATTTTCAGCAATAGCAAATGCACCCGGAGCATCTTTTACGCATGACTCAGCTAACAACTGATTAACCACTTTATTGTCACTTAGCTTTTCCTTTACTTTAACCTTGTATGCACTCTTTGCTTCAACATTGTCAAGGTTAGCATTTATAGTAACCTTACTAAGAGGAGGCCCATCTGTTTCATCTATTGCATCAACTTTCCATTCTGAATTTTTTCCATTCAATGAATCTGTGCCACGTTGTCTGACCTTATTATCCTTCAGTGACTTTATTTTATTCATTTTACTTTGACCAGAAATAATACCAAAGCCAGCACTCTTTCCATCAGTTACCACTGTATGATAACTAGTACCCACGCTATCTTTTTCTGCTGCAGTCATAACTTTTCCAGGATTTCGTTCACCTTTTGACTTATTCTTGCTCTCAGATTTTACCTTTCCTTTCTGATTAGTTTCACACTTCTGAGTATCTTGATCCACCTTACATTTCACTGCATCACGCTTAACCTTTTTTGAAATTGCAAAAACATTACACCTGATGTTATTCTTAGGATCAGTAGAATTATTATTTTGGGTAGTTTCCGGTTTATGATCCATAACTATTTTCACGAAGCTATTTCCTGTATTTTGCTTCTGAATCTTGTTAAAATCCTGACCAGATATTGACTCCAGTGAATCCTCCTTCGCTGCTTCACTTAAAACCATTCTACATTCCACCCCATCTTTATTGACCCCCTTGGAGACTTCGAAAGCCTTACACTGAACTTCAGTTGTTTCACCAACATCACAAATTGAACTTGACAGAGGTGTACATTTCAAGTCATTAGAGAGAAAGTCCTTACGATCTGGAGTTCTATTTCCAAATCTTTTCTTCATATGTAATGCCATATCATTCTCAGAACAGTTAACATCCATGTGCTGTTTCTCACTTTGGTCCACCGATGTCACTTTCCTTTTCTTTGACATATGTCTATCCCCCACAAGAGAATCTGATTCATCAGTAGACATGGAATAATGCTCTTCATGACCATTAAGAGAAGACACATGTCTGCTGTCTACAAGAACTTTATCCTTTCTTATCAAGTAGAGCGGTCTGTCATGTAGAGGTGATATTAGCACACCTCCAGGGATAGCAAAGGATGTCATAACCTGTAGCATCAAATAATAAAAAAAATTAAAGAAAAATTATTTTAAGATATAAAATCAATCATGTAGTTTCACCCAACAGTTTAAGCTTTTAGGATAGTTGGTTCATGACATGGTATAAGAGTTTCTATGACCATCAGTCTATAGTTATATTCCTGAGGCCCCTATTCTTTTAAATAAAAGTTAAATTTCAACACAAGATAAGGTAGGCTTATGCATTATCCATGCTTCAAACCCAGAGGGCTCATGCATTAGTAGTTGTGATAGATATTAGATCATTCATGTGCTCACCCAACAGCATAAGCTATTGGAATGATTAGTTCATAGAAATAGAACACATCAGCTACCTGAACCATGCTTGTGGGAGATTCTTCAGGGGTCTCTTGAGATACAGGCGGCATGTCTTCACTTTCCTCAAGGCTGTTCCCCATTGATGAAGATGGAGAGTTATCAAGTCCGATACCACTGTAAATTGCTGCATTCTTTTTTGCTAAGATATCTGATTTCACTTTGATTCGCAACTTCAGTGTTCTTTGGTCAGTCAAACTTCCTGACTTATTTTCAGAATGAGCTTTCAAAGTGCACTTCTCCATTTCTTCATTGGAAGAAATTCTTGTGTTCTTCTTTGCTGAGTTATCTATCGAAGGTACCCTTAAGTTATGAAATGGATGAGCATTATGGGAAGCAGTTCTAAGCCTCATAGAAGAAGGCATATTTGAAGATGCTTTTGAGTGATGAAATGCAGCCTGTATAACAACATAACCCACAATGCTCAAGTGAACTGTATTTCTTCCAAGCTGACATATTATCTTCCTATCCAATGGTCAAAATAAAAACAAAAAGTAACAAATCTGGATATACCACCATGTGGAGATTGCTAGGAGGTTTCGGTGAACTGTAGTGTTTTTGTGTAGTCTTTGGACAAGATCGAAAAGGAGGAGAGCATTCATATGTAGGTAAGAAGGAGCCATAGTCACCAAATTTAGCACCTGAAAAAATTATTCACATCATCCAATAATACCATTTTTGTCAGCATGTAGGCAGTTTTTTCATTTCTCATTACCAAGCTATGATTTCTATATAGTCACTTACCCAAACGCTCAGCACAAATACCACCTTCAAAGTCCTTTTGAAAATGACCCAGAACATGCTGAATCCTCTCATCCTTGAATAAACAGGAAGCAAGTGATTAGTCCTATTAATTCTAAGTAAAAATTTAATTAAGAGGACATTAAAGTGAAAAATGGCCTCGGCTAAGAATAATCACTAGGAATGAAGCAATATCATAGCAGGCACCATGAAGCCCAGCAAAACGAATTCAACAACTATCATGATTTTTATCATTTAATCGGTAGGTAATAATCTTCTCCTACGGCCAAAATACAAATGCACACTTTCATACCATCAACAATTATCATTACTTTTATCATTAAATTGGTAGGTAACAATCTTCTCCTATGGAAAAAATACAAATGCATATTAGCATACCATCAACTATCAGAGAAATAACAAGAGGATAACTTGCATCACAGCTATTAAGCACAAGTACAACCAAGGCAACATATGGTTATTGATGGTGGGAAATTGGGTGTGGCAGATAGCAGAGACAGTTGCTTGGTAAGTGGTAAGTGGTCAGCTATGTTCTCCGCATATTGAGTTGCGGCAAGAAAAGCATCTACAGCATCCCTAGGCCATTACAACTGATCCATGGTACATATTGGAAAGCTTCAAGGAATGATTACCTATGCTTCTCAATTGCAACAAATTCAAGACATTCTATCATGTTTCTGAATCTCTTCGGTTATAGTGCTTAATTTCCTTTTTTTAGAAACAAAACACTTGTTTAATCATAAAGTACTCAGTAACTGTTCAATTCCTCATATTTTCCCACGAACCAAACATATTGATAAATTTAAAGATCATGTGCACTGATGGCATTATTATAGTACTGAATAAATAAATGATTTTACTTGTTTGTCTATTTGCGTGCACAATCAAATTGGACTGGCTGAGACCAAAAGAGAACCTAACCACAAAAAACAGTGAACTTGGTTAACATTTCAAGTAAACCCTTACAATGTAAGATAGAGAATCAAGGTCAATGTGGTCGTCATCGTCCTTATAACAGAAAGCCTCTCCTTCCTCGAACTCAGTATTGGCTTGCATCTCGACCACCCACAGAATTAAGCCCTAACCCAAACCCCAGAACCCAAATAGTAACCCCTTTACACTGGAACCTTCCCTAAAGTCCAACATCCCTTCAACCCAACCACAAAAATAAAATGGCAAAAAAATTTAATTTTTTATATAAAAAACACGGACCCACAAAATGAAGCAGAAAATCCAGAAGGGATAAACGATGAAACAAAGTGCGATCATGCCATGCGACAATCCTTTATATGAATTATTATTTGCATTAAAAATTAACTTTGGTTTCAAACCCAAGAATCAGGTGGGAATTGATGAGATCGGTGAATCGGTCAGTGGCGAGTGGAATGAATAAGTTCAAACGGATACTAAATCTCTCACGCTCTTGAATGTTTTGATGTGCCCAGCACAGAAAGAAAGACCTGGGTTTTGGTCTCTGAATTCTTTGTTATTTAATATTCTTTTTATTTATTGCCTCACCTAAATTTTATTTCTATCTCTTTCCTGTGTATAGCCCTAAAATGGGCCGGACTAAATTTATAGGATAAAATATGGAATTTAGGCTTTTAATGTATTTCGATTTAAGCGTTACTCTGAACCGATTAGGAGTAAAGTAGGCTTAGCCAGTTGAAATATGCAGAAAAATTGAAATTTTGAATTTAATTTTTTTTTTAAATAGTTAAACATTATTGTTCTCAACTGGCTAGGGAGCTCGATAAGTCATTTTGTTAGTCTATTGACTTGTAACTTGGAAACTACTTACCTAAAAAAATATCAAATATCAAATTTGTTTATCTCTTAAATTTGAATTTAAAATTTAAAAGTTCAATTTTTTTATAAACAATGAGACATTTATTACACTGCTAAATTCTGAATGTAATAATATTTAAATTTTTAATAAAAATGTTATCTTTCTATACTTAAGCTTAATCCTTGACAAAATTTTAAATAATAATATAAAATTTTATAGATTAAATGAAATTTATTTTTAACTACATGTTTAGAAGCACACTAAAAAGCTTATAAACATAAATTTAATGCAAAGTTTATAATTAATAACATTGAAGTAAACATTAATAATATTCTTGTAATATATTTTATAATATATTTTAATAGAATATAAAAAATTATTATTATATATTTTTTATTTTTAAATTATAATTTTTATTTTAAAATAACAAAAATTTAATAAACAATATAAATAAAATTATGTAACATACAAATATATTTATTAATTTATAACTAAATTATTATCATTATTTAATATTTACCGTGTTTAAAATTATATATAAATTAATTTTAACTATTATATTTATTTTTATAAATTTTTTAAAAAATAATCAAAATTTTCAATTAATATTTTTATGTTTCTATTATATTAAAAATAATTAATTTTATATATTTGTAAAAATTCATGTAACTTACAGACAGATTTATTAGGTATAAGTTGAAAATTCAGATTAAATATAACTAAATTATTTTTAAGTAACATAAAATTTTGATTAAATAACAATAAATTTTTTTATTTAAAAAAATATTTTAAAATCCTAAATCAATTCATGCTTTTAAATTTTAATATTATCTTGAGATGCCAACCAAATAAAACATGATAAATACTATATTTATGACCATTTATAGTTCATATATAAAATTGGAATATATAAAATTATATCATGTTATATAGCTAAATTTTTATTCTTAAATTGAAGTATTTTTAGTACTTATTTTCACTCTCATCAAGTTGTGTTTTTATTTTCTTCTTTATTTTTCTCAAACATTATTTTAAATAAATTAATGTAATATCAAATTGTTTTAAATTTATTCTTCTTTATATCAAATTAATATATTTTTTCAGGTAAGCTGTATTTTAATATTATTATGATCTTAATAAATATAGATTTAAGTGTTAAATTTTGATATATCATATATTAATTTTAATAATTTATTTTTTCCTTTCTTGATTTTAAAAATATTCATAAAAAAATATTTAATATTGACTTAATTTTTATACTTAAAAATAATCATACAATATAACTTACTTTTATGTAAATATCTATAAACCGTTTAATATTTTTAAGGAAACAAAGATTTAAAATATTTTTATTTAATGATTGATAACATTCGTTAATGAAAACTTCACAAATAAAAAATACATGTTCGTTGGAATTATCCCCTTCCCGGGTCCGCCATGAGTCTCTTGCTCACCAATAAAATGAATGTTGAGATTCTCGCAGTGAATGCTAAGATTCTCTGTCTTTTTTAAATATTGGACCCTTTCTTAGAGACGGCAAGGGGAAATGCAGCGCGTGAACTTACGTACTACGTGGCTTCACTGTTTCGAAGCTCGCGTGACTCACATTAATATTATTATCTAAAATATTTTAATTTTAAAAATATAATTTTTTTATAATAACAAATTTTGTTTACACGTCGTAAAGAGAAACTAAAAATTAATATATTTTTAAGTGTTAGATATTTATTTGAATGCTTATTAAGATATGCATAACACCGGCGTTCGTTAGCAAAAACATACACTGAACTACAATATTTAAAAATAGAAATAATATCAAATTTTAAAAACATACACTGAGCTACTGTATTTTAGATATTTATATAACAAGTAGTTCAGTGTTTAAGAATATTTATTTTATTGTAGTTCATTTTTAAATATTTATTTTAAAAACATACACTGAACTACTGAACTATAAATAAATAAATATTGGAATCATCAAATTTTTTTTATACTTGTCATTTATTTTATTTAAAAACATACACTGAACTACTGTTTTTAGATATTTATTTGTATATGTTTTTATTCTCCTGTTTGATATTTTTTATGACTCATTCTCTCAAATTTTGTGATATTTTAGCAATTTTATTATATATTTTTTTCATTCTATAAATTTAACAAGCAATTTTTTTTCTATTTTTATCCTTGTTAGTTAATGCATCTCCAGTTTATTTTTCAAAAAAATAAAATAAATGACAAGTATAAAAAAAAAAAGTAGACAGTATATCTAAAAAAACAATTTTTTTAAATTGCAACATGCAAAATAGAAATAATATTCATTTAAAAAGAATTACAATACCAAAATATACAGTTTAAACAAAATTTTTCCGTATATATATATATATAAATCTAAAAACTCTTATACCTAATTTTAATTTTTTTTTAATTTAAATATAATTTATTAGATTTAAATTAAATAAAAAATTTAAATTAAATGTAAAAGTTTTTATACTTATATCAATGTAAGAAAATTTATTTTTTTTACGAATAAAATTTTATTCTTTTATTGTAACATTTTTACAGTCATTTTGATTTATAAAATAAATTTTAATATTTAAAAAATAAAATATAGTAATACAATAAAACAAGAGATTAGTAAGTTATAGGAAATATTTAACTAATTGATTTTATTACACTTTCATTCTCTTGATTTAACTGTTTACATTTAATATTTTTAGTTTTTATGATCAAATTAAATTATTTATTTAAAAAAATTACTATTTTAAAAAATTATAGAAGTAAAAAAAATATTATTTTATACAAATTATAAAAAATATACAAAATGTTTAAATACAAATATAAAATGAATTATATAATTAAAAAAATAAATTGAATATTTATTAGACTAAATATAAATAATTAAATTTTAAAGTCACAATTAAAAATTTTATTAAGACAAACAAACAAAATAAATATATAAAAAGTTAAAAAAATAGTTATATGGTGTGTGAAATATTATATATGTCATGGAAAACTTAAAGATTCCAATTTATTTTGTAACGAGAGTGAATCAATGGACAAATAAAATTTTTGCACATACTTTTTTAACTAGACATTTTATTAGAAATTAGTTTAAAAATGAATAACTATAAATATTTTTGTTAATCAAAATCATTTATTATATCTGAATTAGAAATGTATAACAAAATTTTTTTTTAATAATTTTTAATCATCATTAATTATTTATTTATAGTCGTACAAGTTAAAGTTAATATTTTTTTATTAGTTATATGTTAAGTTGGTATATTTTACCATTAATTAAAAAATTCGTTTTAAAAATGTTTAATATAATATTTAATAAAAAAATATTATCTCAACTTTAATGATACTTATTATTAGCAAAATTTTAATTTTAACTAATTGATTATAAGTAAATAAGTTTATTATTAAATATTTTTTGCATATAAAAAATTTAATATATTATTAATAATATTTTTTGGCAACAATAAATATTTTTATTATTGTTATTTTATTACACATCGTTAACTATACATAAAAAATTTGATAATAATAATCATAAATATAAAATTAATAAATTACAACTTTGTCAAATGTTTTTGCTTACGGAACAAATAATTAAATTAATAAATTTTATTAAAAATACAATAAAACAACATTGACTGTATTAAAAAAAACATTTACATAAAGCATTGAAAGAAAAGAGCGAGAGAGAGAGAGAGGAAATATGAGAATTAATAAGCATTTTTCATTACATGGAACTTTTAAATTTTTTTAAATATTTGTAATTTTTTTAAAACATATCACATCACAATTATTTGTAAATTAAAATGAAATTTTATAAATATTTTTTTAAAATAGTACTTTGTTGTTGATAACAATATGTAGTTATGTTGAATATCATTAAATTAGAGAGAATAATTTATAAAAAAAAAATAAAATATTTAAATGTTTAAATAATAATACATCATTTGTATTTATATAAGTGGGAAAATGTAACTTAAAGTTGACTAATTTTTCAAATAATTTAGTTTATATAATAAATGGGAATTTAAAAAAAAAATACAGTACATAAAAAGTTAAATTAATAAAAAGTTACTCAATTTATTAATTTTTTTAATTATTTATAATATTAAGATGAATAAATACAGTATAAAAAAAACCCATACTTGTATTATACCTTTCAACTTAATTAATTGGGTTATTTGAAAAAAAATAAATTTATTAGTATATCTTTTAATACATTAAATCTTGTATCGTAACATAATAATAATAATAACCACAACGATAATTATTTTTTTATACATTTCTAAAATTATTTTTTTATCATGATATATAATATATTTTTAACTTTTTTTTAAACAAAAGTAATATTTTTATCCGCAACTTTTTGTCTTTGACTGCCATAATCTTTTAATTTTTTGATATATTTAAAAAAATTATTTTTTATTAATAATGCTAACTGTATTAATTTTTTTTCATATGTAATATTTTGTATTATTTATTTATTTTCCTAAATTCACATATTATTATTTTTTCTCAAGTACGGTAAGCACATGGTTCTTATTTAATATTACATTTTACGGTCAAATTTTTTTTAAGAAAGATATCTTTTGATGCAATTAATTATATTCCTTCATGTATGTCTTCTTTTATTGCTAAAAAAAAATAAATGCAAAATCTCTTATTTATACATCAATTTCATTAGTTACTAAATTATAATTTTAAACAATCAAATCTAATTATTTATCTCAAACAAAAAAAATAAATTTAAAAATACTTAATTTACTAATTTATTAAAAACATCTCATATTTTCTTTGCCAAACACTTATAAGTAAATAAATCTAAATTTAAAACATAAACCTTCTTTGAATTTAGTTTTTTTCTTCAATAAATAGACCATGAAAAAAAATCTGATTCATTATCTTTTTCTTTATTTTTCCTTCACATACATTTTAATAAATGTAAAAATGCAACCAACTATCCAACGAGAATATTACTTTACAAAGTTATCACATTTTCAAGTTTTGAATATACAAGTGATAAAATTAAAGACAAATTGTTAAATATATTTTTAAATAACTTTTTTTTTAATCTCAATAATAATTAACTAAAAATATTTTTTACTTAAATGTTTTTTCTCGTGCACAAATCTAAAAGAAAAATATAAAAGATTGAAGATAAAAAATGAATAAATAATACATAAATTTTAAAAATAAGAATTATATGTTTGTTGTATTAAGTAAAAAATTTAAAAAATTGATGAATCATAAAAATCAATATAGATAACCAAAAAAAAAAATTATTAGTAAAAAAATTATTCAAAATAGTTAAAAAATTAAAGAATTAAAATAAATTAAAAGACAAAATTAAATTTAACTTTACAAGAATATTATTTTTTTAATAAAATTTAATTTAGCTACAACGGTGGTGTAATATTTTTTAATGTGTTTGTCTCTTTGAATTATATATTCTAATTAATTAATAATATAATAATATTAACCTAAAAAATGTACTAAAATTAAACACTTTTAATAAAAATTATCGATTAATTTGATAATTAATGGCACTGGACTATTATTATCACTGCTAAAGAAAATTTTCTCTTTGAAGAATCTGACACCCTAATTATTCAGTATCAGCTTCTTATTTTAATGACCCTATTTCTTAAAAAAAAAAAAAGGGATTAATTTATATTCATTTTTTGTTCTTGGCTTCAGTGATAAAATTTCAGCATCTATTTCAAGGTTTCGTCTTTTTTTACGGTTGGATTCTGTCCTAGCACACCCATTCCTCGATTTTCTCAACCTGTTTCTTCTAATGTTTCAATAGTTTTTTTTTTTTTCTTTTCCCCCCCTCCATGCCATATTTTTTTCCCAGAAATTCTTAAATTTGTGGATGTTGGAGGCTCGATTTGGTACGTTTTTTTGATTTAGGGTTAGGGTTTGTGTCTACTAGTCAATGGGTTTGTTGCATGCAAATTGGGGTGTCGATTTTCGTACTCTCTTCAAATGTTTATTTGGTTCTGTTGCAGTGAGCAACGAGCACTAGCTGTTTTAAATTTTTTTCGCGAAACAAAGCATTTTCAACTTTTTATTTTCCCTACAGGACTTTGATTTGGGGTGAATTTTGCCTTTCCCCTCTCTCCTTTTTTCTCTTCGGCTTTGTAGTGCATTGAATTGGTGCTGCATTTGCTATCTACGAATAGAACAAGCTGGCATGATGCGATGAAGTGTAGTTATTGGAAGTTATTCTGACTGTAACTCTCCGAATTTGGGGGCGGAATGTTCAGTCCGAGCATGGATTCTGCGAGAGATGCGGGTGGTGTGGCAGGGACGGTGCTAATTCCCATGCGCTTTGTGTGGCCATATGGAGGAAGAATTGTGTATCTAAGTGGTTCTTTCACACGGTGGGTCTTTTGGAAGTTCTTGCACCCTAATTCTTCAGTAACCATTTTGGGGAAAAAAAACTCTGCTTTTATCTGATTTATCGTGTTGGTTGATTCATGCCCCTTTGCTCGTGTCCTTTCTTTTCTAAAAACAAGTTTAAATCTTGTCCCCAAGGTGGTCTGAACTTCTACAAATGTCGCCAGTGGAAGGCTGCCCAACCGTGTTTCAAGTTATTCATAGCTTGGCCCCTGGTTATCATCAGGTCAGTTCATAGTGCTGTGCTGGTACTGGATGATGATTGAGTGAAAGTTTCATATTCCTTCTAAATTCCATGTATATGCGTGTATGTGTGTGTCTGGTCAAACTGGGTTTTGTGGTTTTCATAATTTTTGTTGTCTTTTGTTTATGAAGATGTTTGGGTGGCAAAATGTTCCTCTGTGACACAGATGGCGATGGCACTGAGCTCTGTATTAAAATGATAATTGCGAGTATATAACTTGTGTCTTACTTTAAATTCTTGACTCTCTAGTTAATATGGAAGTATAAGAGAAATGATGATTATGACGGGTTTATTTACGAAGGTTAAGAATATAAGAGCTATTCATAATTTTAGCATTTTTATATGTTTCATTTTCTCAATGAATGTTTTTTGAGAAGGAATATACTGCTTATGTTTGAGATTGAAGCGTTTGTTAATGAAACATGCATGTGGAATTTAAAGGTTTCAAACTGAGAAAATGCTTTTTTGACCTTTATTCTTGGTGGCTAGATGCTTATTATATGATTATTTGAATGCAGTACAAATTTTTTGTTGATGGAGAATGGCGGCATGATGAGCATCAGCCTTATATGTCTGGAGAATATGGGATAGTTAACACTGTTTTATTGGCTACTGATCCTAACATGGTACCTGTTTTAACTCCAGACACAGTTTCTGGATCTAACATGGATGTGGATAATGAGGCTTTTCGACGTATGGTAAGAGTTAGTCAGACTTACACAGTTGGGATAGTTGTCATGAGCATGGATGCTCTCTGTAGGTTAGCTGGTGTATTTGTTGGATTATGGACTGTAATTTTGAAGAACAATTTTCATACTATGATCTATCTGGAGGTTGTATTGTAACTCATACTAGAACTGCTAGACCCATGTTGTTATTTGTCAATGCATTTCAATCCGCTGATTCTCACTTACAAAAATTGACACGATATTCTTTTAGTTAGTTGTGCCACTACTATGAACGAAAAGTGTTAAATTTATAAAAATTGGGGACTAATATATATTTTTTTAATGGACTATGATAAAAATCTCACAAAAATGTAGGGATCAAAATCATATTTAAACCTTATTTTATTTATTATAACTGTAGTAACTTCCAATTTATAATAGCACATTTTTGTTCTTTTTAATTTTAGAATTTAATCTTTGCCAATGTCTAAAATTCTATTATTGTTTCCTTATGAAATTTTATTGTTCAGGTACGATTGACAGATGGTACATTAACTGATGTGTTACAGAGAATATCAGATGTTGATGTACAGACCTCTCGGCAGCGTATATCTGCATTCCTATCTATGCGCACAGCCTATGAATTACTTCCTGAGTCAGGCAAGGTTTGGAACTTTTACCATTGGCCCATTGTTTTTGTACTTACTCTCTAGAATTACATTACATAATTTACTAATTTAATGATATCTGGCCACAGGTTGTTACCTTGGATGTTGATCTGCCTGTGAAACAGGCATTTCACATACTGCATGAGCAGGTATTTTTTCTTGTACCCTGATAAATAGGTGAGAAATGAATTATATGCTTCTGAATCCTTTTGTTGAATTTGAGCAATTGTTTCAGAACCTTATTGCCTTGACAATGTTTAAATCTTTTTCTTCTTGCATTGTATACCCCAGCTTATTCATCTGTACTGTTGCAATGTGTGTCCTTTGCTGATTAGTAGCTTGCATGTGTAACTTTTCTGAATCGGGTAATTTTACAGGGCATTCCCATGGCTCCTCTTTGGGACTTCTGCAAGGGGCAGTTTGTTGGAGTTCTTAGTGCTTTGGATTTTATTTTAATTTTAAGAGAGGTATGCCAAATATAAAATATTAGCTCTTTTTGTAAGCAAGTTTTTTCAAAGCAATGCTCTTGTCATTATGGTTTGTACAAGACTCCCAAGTAATTTGGAAAGGCTAGTATACTGCATGTACAAGATGTATGACAAGAAAACTAAATGAATATTGCTTGGTTATAGAGCTATAGTTAATTTTGTTCATGAAAGGTAGGCCAATTGCTTTCTATTCCTACAAATTAGTCCAATTGCATTCTTGAACCTATGTGGAGTGCAACCATCTTCTTGCAAGAGTGGTATCTCCAGCTTTGATTCATGGCGAGCTCCAACAATAAATGGCTGGACCAGATTACTAAAAATATAGACAGAAGAATCTTAATAATGTTTGAGCAATTTACAGTGAATAAAAAGTTATCAATTGACTATGCATGTTGTTTGCTGTAACAATGCCAAACTTAATATAGCAAATCATTTCTTGTTATTTGCAGTTGAATATGGATGTGATAAATCTGTTTCCAAAAAGCCACCACAGAATTTGAATTCTTTGGTTGGTCTTCCTAGCATTTCTAACCTTTGTATTGCACGGAGTTCCTTGAAGAAACTTCTAAGTTTTAGAGTGTGTTTCTAGGTATCTGGAATCATTCCCAGGAAAGTGAACTTCGGAATATATCATCCCCATGCTTGGAACAAGTTTCTAAAAAAATATTCCTATGTATTATTGATTCCCCATGAAGTTAAATATCCATGTTTCCCATTGCATTTTATTCCCATGGTGGGAGGTGGATATTTTTCTTTCCATGGGAAAGGAAGTTTCTTTCCTATAACTTCCCACTTCCACTTCATTCTCTGACATTATTTCTTCCATGCCTGGGAATATCATTAAATTCTAACCAAACATGTTTTTGAACTTACCAGAGACTAAGGGCTTGTTTGGTTGTGTTTTGAATTTTAATTTTTAAAAATTGTATTTTAAAAAAAATTTAAAAAATTGTTTTTAAGAAGAAAATGAAAATAAAATTTATGTTAACAAACAAATTTTATAGTGTTCTTGGATTCCCAGGAATACATTATACACCTTGGAACTTAGTTGTTAAGAATCAATATCAATATTTTCCAGATGGTGATAAATTGCACATTCTAATAATAATTCCATCCATGTTCAATATTTTGTAATGTTTGTTAAAACTTATTTTTTTTATTATTGTCCTTTTCTCAGTTAGGAAATCATGGGTCCAATCTGACAGAAGAGGAGCTTGAAACACATACCATATCAGCTTGGAAAGAAGGAAAATGGTCAGCATTTTCAAGACGTTTTATCCATGTAAGTGTTTAATGTGGCTTTTTTGTGCATTGGTATGTGATAGTACACATTTTTGTCTATTGTTTTTGGTTTGTAAAGTGTATATATGTGGATGTTCATAGTTTGTGCTATACAATGAGTAGCTTGAGTTGATTATATATTTGGAAATACTTATTTATCTTTTGATAACTTCTAGCCCTGGGTATATAGGCTAGATGTAGGATGGAGTCTGCAGCAATAGAAAAGGAAAGAATGAAGAAGGATTGTCACAAATAGGTTGGTTTATGAAGATCAACTTGAAGCTTATGCAGAATTTCATCACAATCTTTATTTGCCACTGAGATAGATCTTCCCTCTATATCTACTAGAATGTGGGAAAGTATACTTATGCAGTTAAGTGGAGATGTGGAAATTAGAGAAAAAGTATATGACAGTGGATTTAAACATAGGAAATTGAGAGGGAAAATAGAGTTTATTATTCAGAAATGTTGATGTATCTGATCAGTAATTTCATATACACTTTTATGATCTTAAATATTTATTTCTTTTAAATTTACTTGTATAGCTTGTTATTTTTATTTTTGAACAAACATTTGAATGATATATTCATGGACTGTTTTGACACTTCTGGGAGCAAAATAGAATTTAGAAACTAATCCTGATTTTTTTATCAATGGTCAAAATAGAGCAAAATATAAAAACTTTGGAGAAGTTTCTGTGGCTTTTTAGGAGTTTTGGGTCGATGGTTTGTCTATTGACATGAGTTGTGAGAGAATATTATGGAATTTTTTTAAATTTATGTAGTTGACCCTGCCGTGGGGGAAACTTGGTTGTTGTTGTTGTAACTGTTTGTGCATGCTCAAAATGACTGTAATACGTTCCCAAGCAACAAATATAAAAGTGAAACAGAGAATTGAAGAAGAAAATATACTTTGATCCTGTATAAATGACAAAAGAAGAAATACAGCAAGAAGGATGACTCCTTACTGCCCAGAGCAATGCTCCTAATAGAGAAACCACTAAGTTTCCTCTACCCAAGACATCAGAAATACAGCACCCCCTCCACAATCTCACATCATTCCCTAAATAACAAAAAGATATGGATATCCCACTCTCTCTCCTCTAACTGCCCGCAACCCCTTCTCTCATGCCACGTCAACTCCTTCTCTTTTCTTCCTTGAGTACACTAACAATTTCTTAGGGAATGACTTTGTTTCATGGGCCAATGGCTCAATAGGACCAATCTGGAATTGGGCTCTATTAGAATGTCTGCCTTATCTTTTTTAAATAATGTGAATTTTATCGAACTTGAAAATTTCTTTTGGTAATTTTACAATAAGATGTTAGGGAACATGGGCATATGCAAATGCAAATAGTCTTGTTTTAAGTGAAAATTTGGTGCAGATAATTCTGTGAACTTGACAAAGTAGATATTGGTGATGTATTAGGGGCTCAAATGTTCAAGTATTTAGTGCAAATCCCGCTTTCATGTGTTATTGTTTAAGACAGAAGAAACTGCATTATGCATTTATACATACAAGGCCAATGTATCGGGAGATTGTTTCCCAAGTTGAAAGGCAGAGGATATCTGAATGTTGGTTTTCTAGAATTATAGTTCCTTTTGCAATCTTTGCGTGAACCTATCTTTGCTTTGGTATCATAGTTGTTAATATCGGATAGCGGGGTGTAGTGGACGACCCTCAAAACGCAATTGCGGGATAGCACATAGTGGGATTGCCGCTATTTTAAAGTTTTTCATATAGGTATAAAGTATATACATATACAGATAATTATGTATATAATAATGTTAAACAAATATGATAAATAGCATAACATAACAGAGGTAGGACTGTAGAATCATAGAATAGAGAAAAGAAAGGAAGTGGCTTTTGCCAAAGAAGTCATCCTAAATGAGTGACTGGTGGATTGGAAATTGTTGCAAAGCAGAAACGAGATAGAGATGGGAGGAGGGAGCGTCGAATAGAGAAGGGAGAGAAGAAAAACAGTGTAGAAAAGTGGGGTGTCATCATGGGTCTCTAGTTGCAAAGTAGAAGAGCAACAGAGATGAAAGGAAGGGGTGTCAAAGAGATAAATAAAGAGCAAAACCTAGGGAAAAGTGGGGTTAGGTCTGAAAATTGAGAAGATTATTTTGCCCTTAAAATAACCTAAAGATTGTGTCATCGTAAGGGCAAAATGGAAAATCAGATTATTACTTAAATATTAAAAGTCTTTTTTACCCCTAAAAAATCCTAAAATTTCTTCCTTTGAGGATAGAAAAGGAAAGTTAATATCTTTCCTTTTGATGGCACTATTGCATTGCGAATGGCTGTGATTTGGGCTGCAAATACAGCCGCTATTGGTCGCGATGGCTGTGACAGCAAAAACGCACTGCTATACCATATTTGTAGCGGCTGAAGGCTGCTCCGCCACACACCACTGCTATTGCTCAGCAATGCGCGCAATCGACAACTATGCTTGTATAAATGTTTCTATAATGAAATAATCCAGTCACTTGACTATATCATTTTATACTTTAATCAAAAGTACCTTGCTTTAGTTCCAACGATTCAGTTAGCCAACTTATTTTACCATTGGAACTTGAAATTGATGAAGCTGCTCCTTGAGCTATGTTGGAACTTTGCCTAATAATTATCCTGCTTTACATCTTACTGTGGTTAATGTGCATCTCTTCAGGAAAGTGATTGTAATCATTATGTAATCACCTCTATATTGATTATTTTCATTTATCATGCAGGCGGGGCCATATGATAATTTGAAAGATATTGCTTTGAAGATCCTACAAAATGAAATTTCAACAGTTCCTGTTGTCCATTCTTCTTCTGAAGATGGTTCATTCCCCCAGCTACTACATCTTGCTTCACTTTCAGGAATCCTCAAGTGTAAGTTTTTTATTTTACAGCTTACTTTATACTGTTGCTAATTTAGGCTTGATTCTTACCAAATTGATTTTTCAGGCATTTGCAGGTATTTTAGGAATTGTTCTAGCTCATTGCCTATACTACAACTTCCGATTTGTGCAATTCCTGTGGGCACATGGGTGCCCAGAATTGGGGAGTCAAATCTTCGGCCTCTAGCAATGTTGAGACCAAGTGCTTCGCTTACATCAGCCCTAAACTTGTTAGTTCAAGGTGTGATTTTCTTGTCTGACCTTGAACATATTGAACGAGAAAAGAGAAAAGCAACATAGAAATAATAAAGAAATCGGTATCCTATTATATATTTGTGGTTTGACGCTGAAGGTATCCAATTATATTTTTGAGAAGGGTTATGTCTGGGTGTGATTTAACAACAAAAAAGATGAACGTTTGGGCTAAATGGAAGTAAAGATCAACAAAATATTAAAAGAGATGTTTGCTTACATGACATAATTATACTAACAATACATTTTGTCCTTTGATTTTAGGTCAAGTAAGTTCAATACCAATAGTTGATGACAGTGATTCATTACTGGATATATATTGTCGAAGGTTAGTTATTCTTGCTGATATACTTCTTGATGCGTTGTTTGAGATATTTGGAATCAGTCTATGGTCCGAGCATTAAATTGTCCCACCAGTTTATTATTTAGAGTGGCCTGTCTGTTTCTCACTTTTCCTCCCCTTCTTGCTTTATAGTGATATAACAGCATTGGCAAAGGACAGAGCTTACACACATTATAATCTTGATGAAATGACTGTTCATCAGGTATGCATGAATTTTTTTTTAAAATTACAAATATGAACAGTTTCATCTTTTTTGGTTAGGCAGTTTTACTGATCCTATGACACTGGTAACATGGTATTGATCTTAAGAATTAATATAATTGAATCAGTGTTTTTAATGGCCCTAAAGAAAAGATGATATAAAGTAGGGAAATTAGTTTTTAGTATGGAGAATTGGAGATAAATTAGTAAGAATAAGTACTCATTGTAGTTCTTCAAATTGTAAGTGTCAATCATTTGTGTGTCTAATTTTATAAAAATCTCGTTTTTCATTGTTCTGTATAAAAATTAACTAAAATGAATGTCGATTTGTGAAGTCAATCATTAAAGTGAGATTTTGGGTAAGTTAGAGACTGATGTAATTGACACTTACAATCTAAAAGACTAAAATGGATATTTACTGAAAGCAAAGAAGAAAAATGACAAGGGGACTTTCTCTTTGATTGTTGAGAAAGATGAGATTTGAGAGTTGAGGAATAATTGCTTAGAAGTTTACTTCACTAAGATGTAATATACGGTATGCCACGGTAAAACCTGCTTGAGATTTTTTTTTTCCTAGAACTGTGAAGTGTATATTGAAGTTGTTTGGTTAAAACTATTAGACTATGATGCTTAAGGTTCTGTACAGATTGTGATGTCTATGATATCTGGAAAAAAATTTTGGTAATGGCAAGTTTGGCAACAAGGAAACAAGCTGATGATAAACTTGCCACACGTCTCTCATTTGCAGCCACAGTTTGTGTGCCATTGATTTGCAAGCTTGTGAACCTGCAGGACTAATTTGTTGATATGAGAAAAATATGCTTGGTAGTTAAAACTGGTTGTTAAACAGGATGAATAATATTGTCTTTAATGGTTAATGTGGACATTATGAATGGAAATAACTAGGTGAGGTGCTTAGCTACAGTGCCGTGAAACAGGATTACTGCTATTTTTCTTTAAATTGAGGAAATACTTTTCATGTTGTACACTAATTTGTAGTGAAACCACCTAATTTTTTGCTCGAGCCTGTGAAGGATTTTGTTATTCATTTGTATTTCTATGGATGCTTCCTGGAAGTTACTGGTTTCTTCCTGTTGTTAGATTCCTTTTAGATTGTCAAATTTCTGATGTTGGGGTGGAAAAATTGTACTGCTGTTGATAGTTTAAATTTTTTACCCTTGTTCAGTTTTTGAAATTTTAATTAAATGCATACGCAAGGGTCAGGATTTGTGTGTTCCAGTTTTTTTTATTTTCAGTGTTGATGGGTGTTAATTGTGAAACTAGTTGAAGAATAAGTAAGAAAGAAAGTATTTTGAATTGTTACATCAAGATAATACTGGTGACAATGTGATTTATGGTTGTGTATATCAGGAGTATTTCTATATGAATGAGGTTTATTTAGTGGTTTTATTCTCGTGTGCTTTATTTGTCCAGGCATTGCAATTGGGCCAAGATTTGTACAATCCATACGAGCTGAGAAGTCAAAGATGTCAAATGTGTTTGCGAACTGATTCTCTGCATAAAGTGATGGAGCGTTTGGCAAATCCAGGTCAGTTTCTTTTCCCTTTTAAATTTAAAGACTAAAGTGACTTTATATTTTTCTTCTATATCTTACCTTTGCGCTGGCAACTCACACCTTTTAAACCTTGAAAGCTTAATGAAATTTTGCTAAAAATCTGTTGAAGTGTTATTTGTCAATTTGGTTTAGCATTAGTTTTAGTCATTAAATTTAGTTTTAAATACTGCTTTGTTGAAAAATTTGGGAACCTGGAATCAGGTGTGAGGCGGCTTGTTATTGTGGAAGCTGGCAGCAAGCGTGTAGAAGGCATCATATCACTGAGTGACATATTCAAGTTCTTCCTTGGTTAATTTGGATTGATGAAAAACAAGTCTGACAGTTAGTGCAGTGATCATGACACTGCATTTGATCAGGCAACAATCATCGGCCAAGCCATTAAAAAGAGATTCCAGAGCTTTTACACGGTGATTTGATCTTTATTTCATTGAAATACAATTGGATTGGCCTCTTGCTTCATTGCCTTGTTTTAAGATTTTAGGCTAGAGAAAGAGGCCTGTAAATTTGAGTCTGATTGTCCCATATTTATTCATCTCTCCCCATTCATATCATCTTGAAATATGTTGTGCTCCTCATATAGATACAAGCAAAGTGGAGTGCACATGGTCTGTAATCGTTTCATATTCTCAAGGTACAAATTTCGGGGGGGGGTAAAAATTTATGGGAGGACCAATATTTGAAATATTTTGTTGATTAAAATTAGTTCGAGGAAAGGAAAGTGCCTAGTTGGCATTTTCTAGTGATTGATGGGTATATATACCGTTCCGTGTTTTTCCTTGATGGGGGACATAAGTATAGGTGTTATTTAAGGAATTTATTTTTCTAGGTCAAATTTTAGAGAGAATGTGGAGAGAGTGATGGAAACAGATGAAAAATGAAAGAAAACGATGTAGACTTGTAGTTACCGAAGGAATTGTCTGTTTTCAAATAATTACGTGATTATATTTATTCGGTGGCTATTTATAGTAATGCTTCTAAAGTAGAAAACAAGCTGGCAATTTTAAAATTTTAATTTGTAAAGGTACCAAACGCTTAAAAATTATAATGTAAGTTACAAATTGTTTTTGAAATTTAATTTTTTGAAAACAATAAAATTATTTTGAAAAATTACATTATATCAAGTGATTTAAAAATATTTATGAAATTTAATTTTTAACATATGTTAAATATATTTTTGAAGATTAAATTTTAAAAATGACGAGTGATATAACTACAAAAAAGGCATAATGAGAAACCTAATTTACAATTTTGGGTTTCACGTGGCCCAATACAGTTTTTGCAAGGCTGAGTCCTAAATTACTATCTTAATAAAGCTGCCTATGGTCGATCAAGAAAAAAAATTGGGCTGATATGCAAAGGAACAAGAAGAAACAGCGCTGCATGAAGTAGAATCAAGAAAAACAGGCCCTTTCGAAGAAAACCCGATATAGCAAAAAGGCAGAAAAATGTTATGTTAAAACTGAACCCTATCCATACCAAAGCCATAGCTATGCATACCGAGGATGCATTTGAAATATAACTTAATTAAATACCTATTCAATAAGCTTTTTTTTATATAAGAACTTATGCCATAAATTTTGATCATAAATCTTTAAATGAGTTAAAAAAAAATCTAGTAAAAATTATACATAATTTTTATAAGTCCTTTTAGATATCTAAATTTTTAGAATACTTGAAGAATTGTTATCGATTCAAATTTGGGATGTCAAGGCATTAAGACAGTGTAAAAAAGAAAAGGATTACAATTACAATTTGGGAACTTATACTAATCAGCCTGTTCACATTTAGCAATAGCATACATAAAGTTTACGGCATTCAACATGCAGACATCATACACAAAGTACTGGTGCTGAATTGAACTTGTTACAATCTAGTCCCTCACTATGATTTGATATTTTAAAATATGTACATCAGAAAGGAGTATGAGATGTATATAAATAATCTTCCCTTTTCTTCCGTCTGCACTTGTATAAACAGTTTATAAATAGTCTTTTCCCCTCCAAATGTTAATATGGATATCTGGGTCCTAGTGGAGGCAGGTATGTCTTACGAGCCTCCATAGGAATAATCATTGTCACCATGAGATGAACCAGACTAACACCTGAGTATTGCAGATTTACAAACAACAAAGGAGGTATGTCTTACGAGCCTCCATAGGAAGTTGTCCAAGCTAGGTAGGTATGAGTGCCAAAATCTGATTTCTTATGATACCCATGCATTTCTGTATCTCACCATATATTGGAAGATTCTTTGAACATAGTGGCTGCAAACTGGTGACTGCAGAATCTAGTACCTGAGCAACATCAGCTGGGGGAAATTGTCGTTCGGTACACTTCTGCATTTTGTTTTATTGAAGATATATCAGGGTGTATGTAAAGAATCTTGAATACATAGGACAACTGATTGAAGAATGTATTCTCTAAATATTAATTGACCTGTAACTATAACTAAACATTTAATTGACCTGTAACTACTAACTAACTCTACGCTCAAAATTATTTTTTTGTCCCACGGCATTTAGATAAAGCTCACTTTGAGAATGGTGGCTTATTTGATTGCTTTTATGAATAAGAAGCTGAAAAGGAACCAAGTATAAAAGATTTTGTTGAATAAAAGACAATTTGTGAATTAACAGAATAAATATAATGTTTAAATAGTATATAGAAAACAGATCGGAAGTTTGAAATTGAAAACATTCAGAAGATATTAAAGCAAATTTCAATGTTGTAGAACATAAATGAAACAAATAATATATTCTGTCTATTATTTTCTCTTTCTGAGATTCAGAGAACAAGCAAAATCAGAATCAAGTTAGCATGTCACAGTGCACCATGAGCAGATGTGTCCAGTGGTCCACACCTGCTATAATCAAGCCGCATCACTATCCTGATTACCCAAATTGTTGTATTTAAATTCATTGTCCATTTATAAACGAACCAATAATTTTTGAAGACAATTCCAGTGTTTTTTTTACAGGATAATAAAAGTTATAGGCTATCAAGCATGGATTTAAAAATGCCGGTTATATGATTGAATCATAACATAAAACCATTTGTGTGTTTTCACCAAACTCAAGCTTTTGGGATAGTTGGTTCATGACATGATGGTAAGAAAAGCCTCTATGGCCAAGAGGTCTAGAGTTTGATCCTTATTGCTCCCATTCTTCTAATAAAAGTTGGATTTCAACACTAGGTAGGTGAGTCTACGTATCATTTATGCTTCCAAGCCCAAAGGACTCTTGTGTGAGGAGGGTTGTTAGACATTAAACTATTCATGGGTCTTTACCTAGCAACTTAAGCTTTTGGGACAGTTAATTAATGAATAATGACAACATATTTGTAGAGAGGAAAGTAAAATATGGCATTGTCATAAAGTCACTTTTTTGGTTTAGAAGATGATGCTGTGATTTTTTTTTGTTTGTTCTATTACATTATATGACTAATTTCAGATACATTGTGCATGCAGAAATACAGTAATGTCACACTTCCCTTCTTTTCCACCTTGGTGTTTGCTTTGTCATATTATATGATTGAGAATTTGAAACAAATACATTTACCTTTTCAGCATAGGTTCATATTTTCTAAACTGAAGTAGTACAGGTAAAATCAATTTACCACACAAGTGAGTGCATCTCATCCTAAATAATGGGAGGCAATTAGTTAATGTAATTGTATGTTGGAATTATGTAATTATAGTAATAGTACAAATAGAGAAATTAGTATCTTTGTTACTTCTTATTCTGTGTATCAATAGTTCTTATTGTAAATATATGTTCTGGTGTGTAATAAAAACACACGGATTTATCCTATGTTTCTTGTTCCCTTTTCTCAACAGTATTGATACTATAAAAGAAACAGTTATTTACAATAACCACTGCAATGTTTTGGAATAGAAGCTTCAAAAATATAACAAGGAAGTTTCAGCTGATGCAAATCACCCTCTATCTTATGGTTAAGTCTGTCTTACATAAATAGGAAATATCGCATAACAATTTAACAAACAAACAAATAAAGTCAAGTTTTGTTGAATTATACAAAGTTCAAACAACTAAGCAAACAAAAAGTAGTGAGGGCAGATTGACAATGGGAATCCTTCCAGTAAAAATCAAATTCAGCAGTATGTGATTTACCTGAATCATGAGCAGTGTGGCTAGACAATGAGATATGAGTTCTGAGGGAATTTTCATTTCATTTGGATCAGATGAACTGTTAAGTTCAGCATCTTGTACTTGACAACTTGCCAAGGGATTTAATGTGCTGGCAGTCAATTGATCCTGAGAAGTCATAGTGAGAGAATCTGCAGGTAGAAGAGTGGTGGCTGATGCAGTAGGGTCATCCACTGAAAGCCGGTTATTCATAAAATTTATTGCATCCTCAATTCTTTCAACCTTACTTAAATTTGACATTGCCTGCAATGGTTGTTATGAGATATTGTAGTCAAAGTACATCACTAGAGTATTGTCCATCAGAAGATAAAAGATGATATCCTGAGGAAAGATCGTGTTATTAGTTTCTTTTAGCTGTGAGTATGGTTCATTTAGGAACATGAGGAAAATCCTATCATAACAGTAAACTTTTAACCAAACGTCAGCAGGAACATTTCCTGAATATTTCCACTCAAAATTTACCCTGTATTTATATATTAATCAACCCCTTAATAATTTATGTTTTTAGGTATTTGACCTTTTATAGATGGTGACCAAGCTGTGACTGTCCAGTGCAGTGTATGCAGTTTCAGGCTATATATAAAAATGAGAAAAACACTTAGTTCACAATATTTGGTTTGAATAGCAAATATTACTCTATATAAAAAGTAACCGAGTATTAAGTGCTCTGTGTTCTTTAAGTTTGTTACAAAAAATTTACTCTGCATCTTGCATTTACTAAATAGATGCAATTAGCAGCCTTTCTTACCTGTGTAGCTTGAACAACCATTGTCCGTGCTTTTCTTCTAGAACTTTCAACAATTTCAGCAATATGACTTTGAAATATAGATTCTTGGTTGTGGCAAGCTGAACAATTGGAAGAACTAGCCTGACCACCAGGATCATCAAAATTGGCCATGGGCTTTAATGACATAACTGAGGAGCTTGCTTGATATGTATTGCGTTGCCTCAAGCAAAACAAGGCAGAAGAAACCTGCAGAAGTGCAATCAACTCATGCAATTGTAAAATACTGGAATGGGAAGGTGTAAAGAAACAGCAAGGGGATTTAAATCTACTAAGTGGTCCATGAAAATTCGTGCCTGTTCATTTGCTTCAGTTAATTGCTTTAGTACTGAAGCATAATTCCTCTTAAAAGGTTCTGAATCCTTCACTGAGCTGTCACCGTATTTCTGGCTTTCTGATACCCCATCATTCATGTGCTTCAGTTCAGACAATACAAATTCCTAAAAGTTCAAAATTAACAGCTCAAAACTCAATTTAAAAAAGAAATGTTTGAAGGAAATATATTTTCTTATTATTACAATAGGTACAATGGAGAAAACAGAGATGATTTAGGCAACACCTTCTTGTCTAGAGCACGAGCCAGCTCTGAAATAGCTAATATGTCAGCTTCTTTTGAATGGACATGCTCAAGAAGGGAAGGTTGAGAACTTGATGCTAGTTGGGCATTACCAATCTCACCGCACACAACTTTAGGTTGTAATTTGGAGCTTGAAGTAAATCCCTAAGAAAAAAAAGATAAAAAAAAAAAAGACAAGCAAGTGACTCCGGGACCTTTCATGATAAAAATAGCTGAATTTATCCACTAAAAGCAAACAACTTGAAGAAACATTACCATTATGAAAATGATTTTTCTAACCTGTGTAATGTTACACAGGATAAAAAGTTATATAAGGTAAGTTTTCATAGAAATTTATAACATTTAATACTATCCATGCATTAATTAACATTAAATTCTGTAATTTTTAATAAAAATTTTCTATATATAACTTTTTATTCTTTACAATGTTCCACAGGTTAGAAAAATCCTTATGAAAACCCAACTAAATAAAATGAAAAAAATAAAGAGTATGTTTCTAACTTTGGAGTTGACTTGAAATATCAATACAAAACAAGGGAGACTCTAGAAAGCATGCCTTATTATGTAGAATCTGACAAGAAATTGGACAAATAGAACTCATTAAGTGATAGCCGAGAGTGGTTTGTTAGTGTAGTTTTGCTTGGGTGGCTAAAGTTGTTAAGAGGTATAGGGAATTAGAATATTAGGCAGTAGGAGAGGATAGAATAGGGGCATTCAACTTGTTAGCAGTTAGGAACTGAACATTAACAATGTGATAAAAACTTTGTGAAAACCCTAAACTCCATTCTAAAATCCCATACTTCCAATTTTATTGGCTTTTAACATTCCACCCATCATAATTCGCAACCTTATTGCCCATGCGGGTGCTTATGCGCTAACCCTTAGCCTATTCCCAAAGGAACATTATGATGTGGGAATCACCACTTGCATTGATTGTTTGCAGCAAAGATTCATGATGTAAATAGAAAATATATCAGAACTATAGAAAAATAAATGAATTTGTATTGAATATTCAGGTTAATCTAGAGATCCCAATCTCTCCCCACTCTCTAAGAGTTGAATTCTTTCTCAAATGACAAGATATCTCTCTTCCTTATTATTTATAGGTGACATGCCTTATTTCTTCTACCAATAAACATAACTGACTAACTATCCATTTAACTAACTAATTAGTATCTATCATAGTGTTTGAGTCATCACCTTCAAATATTCAGTCCTATTGCTTTCTTGTCTCTCTAATTGATGAACAATCAAGTTAAAAAGGAACTTTTTAAGTCGCTTAGAGTAACAAGAATCAGGATATATGAGCAAGAATATCAAAAACCTCAAAAAATTAAATCCCAAAATCCAAAAATGTTATCTATGTATTTAAAAAAAAAACATTGAGAATAAAAGGAGGAAAATGATCTTTTGGCAATATTTTATTGATAAATAAGTTTGGAGGCAATGCCTAGTACAGTGACAGTGAGGCCTTTGCCTCCAATTTTCATATTCTTTTAAAATATTATATTTTACATTATTTTTTTATTAATTTATTTTTCTGAAATAGCCATCCTTTATATATGATAGTGTTTCTGACGATCTAGCTCGGCCACTGATTAAGCAACCATTTCTTCAAGGTAGGAAATACTGATAACTGAACCAATGTTCATTTTACACCTTGAAGGATTTGAAACAATCAAATAATCACCATAAAACACAATCTAAATTCCATTTCAAAATATATTTGTACCTTTTTAGATAAAGTACTGCTTCCAGGCATAGTGGAGGATATATAAAGACTTTTTATGCTATCTGAGTTGTCACTAGGGGACAATATTGTGTGCTCGGCAACCTTTCTTTGTTTCAGTTTCCCATTAAGCTTGACCTCGTTAAGGTTCTCATGTATTTGAGCAGAAGTAACATTGTGTTGTAACAGAGATGTAGGCATGTTTTCAAATGGATGAAAAGGCATGCAGTCAATATCCTGCAATACGAAAATATGGGTCAAATTATGTTATTAACAGAGCAAAAATTGGGAACTGATCACACTCTCTTATGACTTTAAGAGGGAAACAGGATGACAAATAAGATGAGAAGAGCAATTCAGATATTCAAAAACTATATACCAAACAAACTGTGTTCGGTATAACATAAAAAATTAAGAAAAATCCATAATCATTCACTATCTCCAGAACAGCCTTATCTCCTTGGTATTTATTGGCTAAAGTCCTTCCTTAAAAGCTATATCGTATAATCTCCAATTTATTTGGTCTTTTATTCCTCCTTTGTGCTTCCAAAAGTGCTGCAAACTTTTTAGCATCAATAGGTACTTTAGTACATGCACTCACAGCAAACCTTGGACAAAGCACAAAATTTCTGCTCACACTCACCTAAATGCATGCTGTGAACATCTCATTTGAAGTTATAAAATACCTATCCTGGGTATAAGACTGGCCTTTAATAGTAGTAATAATAAAGGCAGCCCAATGCATGAGATTCCTGCCATTTTCAATTGTCAAAAAGAGAAGAAACCATACCTTGACAAATTCAACCCCAAGATCAGGCTGGTCAAACTGAACCCGATACCTACAATGGTCAACAGTTAGTACACTTCCATCATGAATCTCTCTCGTCCTCGGATGAATAGCAATAACACGCTGCCCCACAATTAAAGGCTGGGCCAAATCAGTAGGAAGCCCTTCCTTGGTACCAGCAAGAATTTCTGCATAATGTGATCTAACAGATTCCCGGTATTGATTAAGTTTATGTTTTTCTTCTATCAAAAATTGCTCTGAAAATCTCCGTGGTCTGCCAAGAGAACTGCATAAAAGTAGCACATAGATGAAGTGCTTTGTCCAGGGTCAACTCAACCCAAATAATCAGAAAAGAATCATAAGAACGTGGGATGCAGAGATAGAAACTCATGAATTTGGTAATAAAGCTGCTAGTACCATGTCAATGACAAACTCTACCCAAAAGCTTAAGCCATCAAGTGGAGGCATATGAATATGTTTACATCTGTAATAGACTTGGGTACATTTGGGTAAACAACTAAATTAAACAATTATCCAATAAACTCTGATGAGAATTTCCGTTATAAATTTAACTATAAAACTTATTGAAATAAATTGAAAAGAACTTAACTTTTGATAAGATTCAAGAAGCTCATATAAGTAAGCTAAAAAGACTTTGTAGGAATCATAAACCATTTCACAAGCCTCTCTATAAGCTCCATAGAAGGACTTTCAAATGTTAGTTAGTCATCGATGAAATATAATGTTGGCTGAAGAAAACATATGTGCATTTTGAATTAAATACCTTCTAATAACTCCCCACTCAATACGAGTCAATCTGGGAACATGACCCAATCCAACATGGTCTAAATATTCCACAAACTCTCGCTTTGAAAACCATGGATAATCAATAGCACTATAAAACCACTCAAAAGTGCACCATCGCCGTGTTTGATATGAAGACAAACAATTAATAAGCTTTCCCTGTGATAACAAAAAAAGAAATATTATACCTTCCCATATATAAGATAAAGAAGTTCAATTGATACCACTGAGCACAAATGACAAATTATGAACCTTGTGAATAGAAGAGTTATCTTCGAGTGAAGTAATGGATTTATTATGTTGACTACTAAAAATATTTCCACAAACCAGCGAATCTTGTTGTGCCATTGGTTTTGGTTTTTCCATCTTTCTTCTTGGCCTTCCTCTGTTTACTTGACTGACTGGGTTAGTAGACGAAACCTTCATGGGTGAAAAAGATGAATCATCCCTTTCCCCTTTGTCATTAGTGCTTGAAGACATATTTCCTGGGGATTTCACCATTTTCAGTAGTCTTGAATGTGCTGTACTAACAGATGACCGCTTACCTTTAACCATGGATTTCTTCACCTCATCAGCAGCCTATAATGAAGATAATATTTGGACACTGTAAGTAGGTACAAGAAAATATACTAGACAGCATCAACTGCAAATTAGTACAAGAGAAACTTTTATGGCAAAGCAAGGCGGCATCATGGATTTGAGTACAAAGTAAAATATAAAAGAAAATTGCTAAAAGTTAAAATAAAAATAGTAAGCAAGTAGAATACGTTTATAATAGAATGCAACCTGTAAAATACGATAGATGATATGTCACAAATATTATTGAGCTTTCATTGAACAACTTAAGCTTTAAGGTGAAAGCTTATAGAGGTTTTATATCTAACAGGTCCTGTTACACAGCTCTAGTACAAGCTTAAGCTGTTAGGTAAAGGCTCACTATAGTTTTATTACATCTCAAACAATAGGCAATATAGATGTTTTTATGTCTACCACTGTTATGAGAAAAAACACTTAATGATAAATAAATAATATGCAGTAGTTGTGAACATGATCATACTTTCACTACATTTCAAAGATAAAGTGAGGAACCAATTTGTCATTAACTTAGAGTGCAAGTATGCTGTACCACAAACGCAAATCACCAGTACATATGAACACCCATTAAATTGGCTACAACCCACATTTGATCCTTATATTTAACTACTCTTTCAAATTGCATCCTTATAATGTTAAATTTTAATTATGACCTTTAAACTTCAAATGTTTTCAAGTGATTCAATTTCAAATGGAATTATCACACTTCAGACATAAGTCTCTTCTCAAAAATTACAAGTGAGACAGTCATTCTCCACCCAAAATTAATAGTACCCTGAGGTTCCAGTCACACCCAATTGAAAAAAGAACAAAAGACCTCATTTGAAAAAGATATAACAGTCAAATTATATATCATGCTGGCAATAATAACTAATAACTGCACACCTTGGTTTTCTGGGAACCACTTAACTGAGAACCAGTATGAGTTTCATCATTCTGCAACAAACAAGATACTTTTTATTCGCATAGTACAAGTCAAATATCAAACAGAAAATATAAAGTGAGAAACCATAAAATTTGCAATTGAATGCTGGAAAATAGCCAATTCTTACTTTCAGGGTAAACGATTTTTGTTTCCTTTTCCTGAATCCTGCATTAAGCTGTTGTTCTCCCTCTGCTTCAGGAACAGCAGCTCCATTATCAGAAAAAGCCTTGCTCAATTTACTAGAAGCAGTGGTTTTGATCCTAGGAAATACATTATGTGTTTCCATTTTAGATTCATCAACAACATCATGGTTTCCTTCCTTGAGGTGGGCAGATGACTCTGAGACACAGAAAACATTATATGGAAAGATTTAGACAACCATGAAGTATGATGAAAAAGGATATCTAATAGAATAAACATTCCAAAAGGAAAGGAATGTCAACTGAGAGAAGCATGTGAAAATTAATTTAAATTACCATATTACAAAATAGTATATGTAACAAGTTAAGATGTGAAATATTATTTGTTAGATTTCATCTTAAAATCAATTGGCAATTGACATTAACTGAAGTTACCCAACAACTGCACCCCAATAATTGAGGCTGTTGACTCCAACAATCCCCTACACAGATGCCTACCAAACCAGGTGATGTGTGACTGAAACTAAGCAAACCGTGGAGATCCCTCCCACAAACCATGAAGCAATAGAAATGGCTATAGGCTCTAATACCAAGTTAGATTTCATCATTAAAATCAATTAGCATTAAGTGAAATTGCTCAACAAGAATATAAATTGCACCCCAGTAATTGAGGCAGGCAATGTGGGAATTTCTGACATTCTTCAACAGATTGAAAGGTGAGCCTAGATAAACTACTGAAGAAATAGTTGAGATTACGTGTGATTCTTGTTGAGCTTTTGTGTAATCTGAATTGTAATTTGATAGACCTTGGAATGTGTTAGAATAAAGAAATAAACATACTGAATTCTAATTGAATGATAGAAATAATATGGTTTTCTGGCCAGTTTTGATGTACATAATTAAGCTAGATTTATTGTGTTAATATTGCATATTCTTTCCTGTATTATAAGGATTTCTTTGTCCACATTTTTCCTATAAATGAAAAAGCTTAGAGAGGTGTCTCTCAAGCAATATTTCACACATCATTTGGTTCTCAAAAGAAAGGTCTCAAGGCAAGAGTTTTAAGAAAAGGATTATGTTGAAATTACATTGGTAGGACAGTTGGTTTAAAGGCAGCTAGTAGGATGTAGACAGGCTACACTAATGAGCAAAATGTATTGGGGAATGGAGTTACATAAGATATTCCTTTAAAGGTTCTTTTAGGATTTCGATCAGCTTCCCATTTTGAACAAGCAAACCAGTTGTCAGGAGAGACCTTTAGATTTGGAAGAGGCTGTTAGCCTTTTTCTTTTCTTTTTTTTCAATTTAGAAAGCAAAGTATTACAATAGCTTCCTTACAAAACTGTTTGAAGCAAAAACTAATGAGTTATAAGTTTGAGCATTCCTGATAGGATTATGGATCCAATTAATACTTTAATTGGGTGTGGGTTGTGTTGTTTCCTTTTAGTCTATGATTTATAGCTTGGGGCCAAAGGAATTTTTCTAGGCTATGAGAATTCCTCGTATATTTACGTACTTTTTTCCATTTTGATCAGTAATAAAATCTCCTTTGTTAGATAGCAACTGTATACTATCAATTCATCTCCAAACACTCATTATTATGCACATCTATTATTGAGTGATGTGCAGACAGCTTTAGGTTTAGGCATCTTCTACTCTCAAAACAGAAAAATATATGATGGATAAAAGTATATTATTGAGTAAATGAACGATCAGATATGTCAGCTTTTAGGTCAATTAATGGGGTGAAAAAGGGATGAGGATTGGTGCATATAACCACTTGTTTTAGAAGGTAGTCCATGCAATTTTATTATTTATTTATATTTATCCATGTGAGAAGGGAGAAGGAATAGGTTAAATAATATTATATGTTATAAATAAAACTTAGATCTCTTACCGGTGTAAGGGTTTGTTATTGGCAGCATCAAAGACAGATCAGCCAAAGCTTTCAGGGCATCAAAAGCAGAACCTTCATCTACAAAGAGAGAAGTACAGGGGAAAGGAATGGAGGATGAATGCATTAAAAAAATTGTAATTCAAATTGGAATAACAAGACAAACTTGAGACTAGGAAAATGGTAAAGGGAAAATAGTAAAAGACACTATTTAGAGTACGAAAAAATTCAAACAAAATCTATAACTATTCTCATTCAAAAAAATCTAAGGTCTAACTATTATATAACAGTTTAAAGTTTAAAAGGAATAATATGCTAGAGGTTGCATCATGTTGACATCTAATTAAAGTAATCTCTTGAAACCTATTCCAGGATGAAAAACATAAATAAATAAATAAAAAAACAGATAGAGAGGTTTCCTCTCCAATTGATTTTCTTTGCCTGCTCAAACATCATCAACTACAATAACTCCAATGCACTAAAATCATGAAACTCTTAGCTACAATCAAATAGGCTTAAGTAATACAAATTCACTTCATGCCAAAATCTTCATATAAAATTCTAGTCCTATAAAGACTTCTTATGGATGTTAATATTTCAGGGGCAAACAAAATTTAGCTCCCATTCCCCCAAAAAGTATATATATAAACAAATTGGAAGATGAGAACATATCACAAAAAAAATTAAAAGAAAGTTATCACTATAGCGGCATAACCAAAGAAGCAAATAATAACTAGAACATCATGCTCAAATGAAACGTGTGTCCTTTTAAGTAAGAAATACAGCATGTCCTGTTTAAGGACAAAAACACCTGATACCACCAAGATGCCTTGTTTTCAATTATTTTATGGCAGAAAAGTTGCCACTCTTGTTTAGTAGAATTAAACTAAAATCATAGTTATCAATAGCGGCCATAGCGGCCGCTATCGCAGCATAGCGGAGCGGAGCGGCATAGTTCTGCTATGGCAACCTTGTAGCGTCACGGTTCAGTGTCGCGGCTGTCGTGCCTCGAATAGCGGCTGAAAATAGCAAAAATTGCGACTATAGCAGCCGCTATTCTGTTCTGCTTAAAAATTCTGAATCTACCCTTTGTTTTTTTAACATTTGGGGCTTTTAAGGGGGGGCAATATTGGGATTTCAGCCCCCTTTTATTTTTTGAATCTTCTCCTCCCTCTCGCAGACCCTAGCCCCTCAACTCACCTTTCAACTCTCTCCTCAGCTCTCCTCTCACCTCTCCTCTCATTTCTCCTTTCATTTCTTCTCTTTTCTCTCTGTTTTTTCTATTTCTTTTTCTGTTTTGATTCCCCTACTTTGTTCTATTTCAAATTTCAAAGCTTCAAGTAGAAGCAATGGCTACTCCTGCACACTTTGCTTTTTGTTATTTATTTCTTTCTCTAATTTGTGTTTTCCTTTTTTGTTTTGTTCCAAATTTGTATATTAACTTTATATTTTTCAGCATGTATGTGTGTGCATTAAAACTTCAGAATAGCGGTCACCCCGCTACCGCTATCCCCGCTATAGCATTTTTGAGGTTAGCCGTTCCGCGCCGCTATCCGTGATTGACTACTATGACTAAAATAGCAAGCTCTGTAAAGATATCAGTTCAAAAAGAAAATTTATGACGAAGGCGAATTAAAGCAATTACTAAATACCTTTCTCAATCTGTAGATTTTTACTGTTCTTCCTGGAACCTTTGTAAGAGGACCTTGCATTTTTTGCATAAGAAAAATCTGTGTCAAAATTGGATTTGATAAAACTTGGATTTTTACCATCATCTGTCCCACTGGAAGCTTCCTTTATGTCATTCAAATGCTTATTTAAATTTTCCTCTGGTTCTAAATTCTTTCCATATTGTTTTATTCTCTTTTCCTGATTCCTTCCTCTTCCAGTATTTCCTCTACCGCTCTGATGAATTGTTTTTCTAGAATAATCCCCATTATCGCCTTCTGTGCTTCCTAAACTCAACTCAGAACTACCATCATCCAAGTCAGAATTGCAAAACTTGCCTCCAGCTATTTCTGATTTAGCACGCTGAAGATAGTAACAGCCTAGAGTAAATATTCATTTTAAAGAAATAACAGAAAAAAGACAACTGATGTTGTATTATAAATAACTTATTACCTTCCCACTTTTCAGACCTGGTGAAGGAATGCTTTTCTTGTCTGGTGATCCAGAAATTTTTGAAGAGCCACCTCTTTGTGAAGCCTCTGTTAATGCTAATGCAATCTTATGAGCAACATCATTAGTATCAAGCATTTGTTTAGAGCTCTGCCTGACAGATGAAAAAAACTTCTCCCCATTATCTTTACCAATAGAATAAGAAATAGGGACACGGGGAGTCCTTTTCCTTACAGCATGAGGCTTAATTCCTGAAACAATATCAGAAAACAACCAAAGGTAAGATCGTTAATAGGTTTTACTTAAGCAAGAGAAAATCCCCTCAAGAATCTAACTATATATAAAAGAATAACAATATCTTCAAAGATATGCACCCTGACATGTTGACTGATGGAAACTGAGATACAAGTATTATTGAATATCAACAAAAGGTGACTACACATAACCATAGCCTATGGCTTCTACAGAAATCCCAATTGATTGGAATTCTGCCTTACTGCTCCCTCTAACAGAATGTAACAACTTACTTTTTTTCCTCTTCTCCGACAAATCTCACCTCTTACTCTTATCATGCCCCTTCTAAATAACTCATGTATTAAATTCCTTTTTGGCCCCACTGCTCTTTTTCTTTCTCACATATACCCTCCACACTTTGGGCCTCTTAACAAGATCCAATAACTAATCCCCTTCCCTTAATTCGTCACTTGGGCCAACAATCCCAACATTGAGTGTAAGGAAAAATTATCCATTTTTCCTCTATCTTAATGCAACAATTAATGGTTGAAAAACCAAAACAAATGCAGAGATACATGAAAGAATTGAGGAACAATAATGTTCACGAGTTTTTACATATTAACCCACCAGAATGCCTCTTCTTCAACAATGACAAGCAACCATCACCTGATGCAACAGAATGTGACTGAGAATGATCTGAAAAGTGTCCATCTAATGCTTTATTGTCATTTAGCTGCTTTCCCCGCAAACGTTTTTGGGACCTTTTAGCTATTTCTGCATCGTCATTGCTTTCTTTTCCACTGTCACTTCCTCCCTGCCAATAAAAATACTAGGATTTTAATTCTTGTAAACAGTTCTCAAAAACTAGCTGTGTTACCTATCACAATTTATACAAAATTTATAACATAATCCATGGTAAGTACTAACTTAAACCAAATATAGTTTAAAACCCTTAAGAATTGAACAAAATTTATCTTCTTTTATTGATTAATTTTCTGGGCAGTAGGGTACTGGGAAGGCAGAGGTTCCAGATCAATAAACAAATTATTACCTCCCAAACACAGCTTTAAATAGGCAAAAGCTAATTAATGCCAGTGTTTACCCCTTGCTAGAATATACAGTAATGTATCATATGTTAAATGAATTCATGCATCCCATGTCAGATATATTTAGTTTTCATAGGAATTATTATTTAGGAAGTCACAGCCATTTACTCTTTGCCTAGGAAATAGTTCCCACATAATCTATTAAGAGTCTATATATAGAGATGTTCTGCATAACATTGTACAATCAATCAATATCACTAAATCATTATAAAAATAAATAAAACCTTAGTCTATTGGTCAAAAAACTCTGCTCGAGCAACCATATATCCTTTTCAATTCAAGAAAAATAAAAGACCACAGTTTCCTTTATATTCATTGACAAGCATGTGGATGTATTTTTTTTTATAGAAAAGAGACTCCTTAGATTTCCATTATAACTGAGTCAAATGAAACTGCAGAGTACAAAAATTTCAATCATAATACCCATATTTTCACAGAACTGAATGGCAAAACTCATTGAAAAAATTATAAAAAAAAATTGTTTAAAACAATATTGAGAGTGACTAGTTTTGAAGTAATACAGTTTCTTCTCATCACGCAACTTAGGAAAAAGATTTGTCATGAGGAGAGGGAATCTTTAATATCACAGCTAAAAAGGAAAACAAATAGACAACTGGATAGCAGCCACAAGAATGTTACAAAAACAGTAAGAGCAATGTAAATGTTCACTAAAACTTGCCAAAAGTTTGAATTCATTCTTACCAGTACACTATAATGATCTGTCATCATTGCTATCAGTCCAACAACAGAAGCAGTACCCTCTGGAAGAGATAAGTATGCCTAAAAATAAACCCAAAGATTAGCATATTTTTGTAAATGATATGCTACACTAACTAAAACCCACACTATTGATATGTATCCATTAAGCAATGACATAAAGTAGAGAAACTTTATTGAAACTCTGAATTAAATTTAAGTTTTTTTTCTTAGGAGGGGGAGGGGAAGGGGGTAAAGCCATAGATTTTGCGGATAGGAGAAAATATCACCAAGAAATGAATCTTGCAATAACTGCTCAAATATTTAAGACAGATATCCACAAAAGGATTGAACATTTTTTTTCAGCATGACATTTTCACTTCTCTAACTCCATTTTTGTTCTTCATATACACATTTCAAGAAAAAAAAATTTAAAGCATTCACTTGTTGAAAACAGAACTTGTGAAGGGTTGAAAACCTTGTTTTCTAGTTGTATAGGAGAAGATACAAAACAACTCCAGAAGGGGTATTGAAAAATACAGGAAATGTTGAAAATTACAAAACACACCCTAAGTATACTGTATATCTGTATATGTGAATGTTCAGTATGTGCTTTAGAAATTTTTATCAATGTGAAGAGTGAATACATGGTGTATGAATTTTATAAATATCAGCAAATTAACTAGGATGTTGAAGCCTGTCAGACACTTACCCTGTTCATAGTGTACAGTGCTTCTACCATTTCCACAGATCTATTACGTACTGCAAGAGCAACCTGTCAACATAGGTAAAAATGTTACTGAAGAACAAGTTTAGTAAAAAGATGGCACTGGGAAATCGCAATGCAACAAAAAAGGTATATTCACAAAACAAGACACAACCTTTATCTTTAACCTTTATTTAATAAGAAGCACCTCATGATTAAAAGCTATAACTGACCTTCTTCCAATCTTTCCCATATTTACGGTAAGCTTCATAGAAAAGCTCAAGCTCCTCCTTACTCCATTGTGGCCCTAACATGTCAGCTAATTTTCTCTTCTGCATATCATTGAAATTTGAAAAATAATTATAAGGTAAGAAAAAGAATTTATAATGCCTGACCATATTTAAACAAACTTATAAAATAAAATAACACCTATTTTGATATCAACAAAATGTTAAAAAGGAATTATGGTGACTTCTCAACAGGAGCACTCATGTAAAAAGAATAAATAACAGAGGGCAAATTTTTCCTTCGCTTTTTATAACAGAGTACATGTATATGAAAAAAATATTCTTTCCAAAGAAGTAGAGAAACATATTCACCTTCTGAATACCAGGACTTGCCTTCTGCTTATTCTTGCTAGCATTCTCTGCAATTTTATCTTTATTAGATGCAGCCTCCCGAACATTAGAAAACCTCTTATTTACACTTCGAGATTTCCTAGAAGGGGGCATGACTAATTTCCTTGATGATCAGAATTGGCACCTTCTCTCCCTCTAAAAATAATATTGATGAGGAATCATAGGTTCAAAACCCATAAGATGCATCCTGCAAACCAAAAGCAAATAGCCTGAAGTCTGCTAATGAAGAGCATAGCATATTGTGCAATGAGGTAGTGGGTATTCACAAAAAAATAAGTCTGTTTTGATTGCATATATAATGTGGATTTTAAAGCTACAATCATAGGATACCATGAAAACGCTACAGTTCAAGCTATAATTGCCAACTTAAGTGTCACATTAACTACAAAACATTTATCCGTGTATACCAGATCAGGTAGTAGCAGAATCTACTAAGATGAACTACAAGTTGAACAGAAATTAGAGTCTAAATACTCAGTTAGATAAAAACAACACTTGAGACAATAAAAACTTAACACTAAATAAATCAAGGATATGTTGTAAGAAATAGCACTTACTTTGGTCAATATATAGAGATCACAATAAAAAATGGAAATATTCTAAAACTTGAAAGAATATAAAGATCAAATAAAAACAATATTGGAACGAATACATAATAAAAAAAAAATCAAATAACAAGATACTTCCTCATCCTTTTATCAAATATTCCAGAAACCAGACAAGCTAGTTAAGAAGTATAAGGAGGTCCAACTGCTCTTTCCCTTTACCGGAAGAGCGTGCACACATAAGGATCAACAATGACAACAGGCCTTAGCCCGGAATCCACCAAACTACTCTTATTCAGAGATTTTCCAAGTCCAAATCCCCACCTACCTCCTCCAAAGGAAGAGAAGATGCAAAATTCCAAGTCTTTAACAGCATCAGCACAACCTTTTGGCAAAAAAGTAGACAGAACGCTGAAACATATACTAAACTCTCTAATCTCAAACATTCCTCGTTTCAAATCACTTGCACGAACTTCTTTCACCGCCTTCCACCAATCAAAATTCAGAAACATACAAACATACAGACATAACAACAACTAACAGAAAATCCATATCGAAGCTTGAATTTCAATTCAGCGATAAGGTAAACGAGAAGGGAGAAATCTCAGTGAAAACGAGCAAAAGAAAAATCACAACTCAACTGCAGTTTAGCAGCTGAGAAAGAAACAAGTAGAAAAAGAAAGAGTAGGAAGTGCGGGTGCGTAGAAGAAGAAGCAACTCAGAATCCACAACTTGAGATGAGGCGATTCAGTTAATTTATCCCTAAGACCCACTGAATCCGGCATTTTAGTTCAGAAACTCGAAACCAAACAGGGAATTGGGATATTCGACCAAAATAGGCCTCTGATCTGAGGAAGAATAAGAAAGGAAGCGTAATTGAAACTGGGAATGTGAGAAAGAAGAAAAGCCCTCGTCATTTGCAAAGAGAAAAATGAGTGAAAGGAAGTTGAAAAATAAGTGAAGAAAATCGAGAGAGGAGGAAAGGGGAACTCACCGATCAAAGAGAATCTGAGTGGATTGTTAACATTGATGTGCGGGAGGGATCCAAAGCCGGTGGATGAAGAGAAGAGGATGATGAACAACTCCGAGTTGATGGTGTTGTGTTGTTCGCGTAAACTAAACAAATGAATTCGAGGGTATAACCGCGAACATTTAAAATAATAGTACCATTTTTATTTTCTTCTTTTGTTACTTTCTCTACTCTTCAAATAACGCCCTAAAATTTATTCCCCCACTCCACAATAAAATTAATAAATAAATAAAAACGCCTCTGACCGCAAACAAGAACATGGGCTTTAACTAGTAGTTGAAACTTAATTCTCTATATATATATATGGAAATTTTACCGTTTCTTTGTGTTTAACATCACAATTTTGGAAAAGCATTTGACAATCATTTAAATAATATACTAGTATATTGCCTTCCTAACCCAGTTATTCTGGTTGTAATTACTTCAACGAAAAATCAGTTACAATGATAAAACTAGATGATAGGACATAATGAATTAAAAAAACAAAACAAAGCGTGCATAAATTATCATTTATCCGTAAATTGAAAGGATATGGAGCTTTTTTAAGTTTAACACGGTGAGATTAATTCATAATTTAAAAAAATGGAAAAAGATTGTCACTCTAATTTTTTATGATGGCATGAGGTTTTGAAGCCTCGTTGTTTCAATTTAATAATTACTAACAAATAATGATATTGAATTTTTCATTGTTTATGCTCTCTGATCGTTATCGAAAGTTCGTTTCTTTATCAAGGCTATCAAATTACTAAAATTACCTTGTACTAAAAGTTGTATTTGGGTAAAGAATTTTAAAATTATAAAATATTCTAAATAATAAATAATTAAGTTGTTTCAATTCAACTTTTCGTTTGGAGTACTGCGAAGTAAGATCCCATAACAAAATGGCTTGGCAGTTCATACCTATGGATTGATTCAATTTTTCAAGTTAAAACCATACACGATTCTCGTTTGGAGTTGATATGATCTCCAACTATCTAAATGTGAATGCAAACACATCATTAGACTCCCCTTATGCTTAGGTAACATTTGCAGAGAAATTCATATTATGGTACCTAGTTCAGCACTTCACTTGGCAAGGACATTTGGTTTGGATCAATTGTTATTCGCCTGAAGCAGATCAAATTGGGCACTATTTCAAAATGTAAGTGATATTTACAAACATGATAAAGTGCATGAACATTAGTTGAGAATTGGAGAGCATTATAGTTCACCGTTTTCTTTAATCAACGCCTTGACCCTTTTGCTCGTTCGAGAGCACCTACTTCTTCGAACTCTGAGTGAAGTTGCATTTCTTAAAGAAAGAAAATACGAGGAATTACTTTTGCCACAAACCAAGCTAATTATGAATGATGCATAAAAAGCTCAAATAATCACATTCTGGGTATTGATATAGGAAGTGAAGAAACAATAGGACAATTGCCGAGAAAAAAAAAAGCTCTGATTTCTGCTATGAACATTGAACCATGCAATTTAAAAATACATCCTACTATTTAGTCGTCCTCGATTTACAATAAACCAAACAGAAAACAGTCACCTACTACGAAATAAAAACAGCTAGTCGGAAAAGTTTCATATCTGTTTTAGGAGGACTGGGTGTTTTGTCTCAGTAGACAAAGAGCTTCTTTCGTGTCAGCTTATTTCACTTCAACCGAACATTTAACAAAACCTGGAACTCTATGCTAAACACTCTTCCGGGGAAGGGTGAATATGATATAACGAAATAAGCAGCAATCTTTATTAAATAAATCACACAGAAGAACCTGCTAGAGGGGTGACAAGAATATCATTCTCCCCATAAAGAAGACAGAATTTGACCAAGAACAGCAGTCTATATGCAGAAATAAATATCAGAAAGCAATTGATTCAACAAATAATCTTTCAAGTCAACACTTATTTGCCTTAACTTTGTCGAATGCTCTATTTTTTTCACCTGAAATACCCACATCCAAGCTGTTTTACCTGCTTTATGAAGCTGTTTTTTTCATCTCAAAGGTAGGAACATTGGACGCTGGACTTCGACAGACAAGGCAAACAATTTCATACATCTCTCCGCAGGTAACATGCAACTTCCAGTTTAGGCTAAAATGGGTAATCTACACAATAACATCTTAATACTAATGTATGTCAGACTCCTTTAAACAATAATGTATTCTCCAGGGATATTGCACATCCAATTCCAATATCTCCCTTCTTTTTTTCTTCAACTAACTTCTGTAGGAAAACATATAACAAATTTCAAGATTTAGAAAACTCCTGGGAAATAAGAAATGATGTAAAAAAGCTGGCATGATTGTTAGTCTGACTTTTGGTAGACATAGACATGATTCATCTCAAGGGATTGACAAAACAAAGATAAGAACTCACGTACTTGGCAAATGCTATAAGCAAGTGTTCTCCCTGTTCATATTTTTCTCGTACATCTTTAACAAATGAGAAGAATGCTCCTTGAAACGTTTCACAAACCTTTTGAGGAACAATTTCTCAGGGAGGGCAAACGGTGTAGTCATGCTAGCATCCTTTTTCCGCAGACCTTTGGAGTTAAGGTAATCCACCACCGAAGCCCTTGGAATAAGCCTCTTCTGGAGACTCAACTGAAAAACCACAGGAGATCTAACAAGTTCCAAGGAATCACAACCTAACTGACTAACAAAATAACTCATCACTGCATTAATTTTATCAGCTGATGACAACATACAATAAGGCTGTCTCTTAAACGCTTCAAGAACATGTTCCTGCGACCATCCCCACTTCTTAAAGGTTTCAACTTTCTCATCCCACTTGGCTTTATTCACAGTCCTTTTTGCAAGCAAAGCCACACAGAAAGAAGAAGTTGAGGGAACAAAACCCATTCCCTTCAATTCAGTAATAGTCTTTAACAAATTAGCAGAGCATAAAATACTAGGCCAACGACGAAGCAACTTAGCAATGTCTGAACGTTTAACTCCATTATCAATCAACAATTCGGAGTTAAGTGCAAAACGACCATCAGACAAAAAAGAAGAATTACGATTCATACAAGCAATGAGTTGATCATCAGATTGAAGAAACCCTCTTACAAATTCATACGATGGAACTATATGATTCTCCAAGCTTCTGGAGAGGAATCTTGGACCGATGCTAACCATGCGAACAATGTCGGCTCTAGAAACACCTTTTGAGGCTAAAAATTCAAACTTTGGCAAGAGAACCTTGTCGGGGTCAGACAGAAGAAGCGGAAGCTGACGTTTGATAATGCCGTGTATCTGAGAATTGGAGAAGCCACGGTTACGGAAGAAGGCGAGAACTGAATCGGGTTTTTGGGGATTGTTGAGACGGAACTTTTGGGAAACTGTGAGAGCAGATTCTGGGGAGAAGCCACAGCTGTTGACGAGATAAGAGACGGTGAAAGAGTGTGGGTCGGAAGTGGTGGTGAATTTGAATCTGAGGGATAGGGATGAAGGTGTTGGTGTTGGTGAGTAAAGATGGAGATTAAGAAGAGGGTGAAATTTCAGTGTTTGGCATGTTGTTGTGAATGCGATAATGCGATTTGGGTGGAGAAAGGGTTTGTATGTGTTCGAAATGTACATGCTTCAGATGAGAACGGCGATGATGGCAGAGAGCCTCACTGAAAAACAAAGGCAAACGGAAAATTTGACTAGGGCATGGAATTGGGAGGGGATGATCCGTTACTGTATTGCTCCCTTTTTTTACTTTGACCTTAAATTTTAAAAGAAAATATTGTTTATATTTATGACTGGTATTGTATTTTTTTATTTTACAAATTTTTAGATTTGTTTGTTATTGTTTTATTGCATCTCTTTTTTTTATCCATTTGCAGGTCAAGATAGAATGCTAGAAAAGTTATTTTCTTTGTATTTTTGTTTATTTGGTTAAGTCATGTTTGTTTCAAAACATGTTAATATGTGTTTAGAAATTATGTTTTTAAAACGACTATAGCAACAAAAAAAAAAAAGATTATGGATTAATGTTAAAACGTGTTTGGTTGGATTTTTATTTTTTTTTCAGAGTACTTTTCTCAAAATTCAAGTGACAGGAGGAAAGAAATCAAAGTCAATAATTGAATTAAAAAACAAAATTTTATATTTTTATGGAAATATAAAATTGTTCATCGTTCCACCATAAAAGAAAAAAGCATCATTCCTTATAGAAATTTAAAAAAACGAAACATGAAAATAAGTAAATAAAAGAAATATTTTCTCACTAAAATAAATAAATAAAATCCTACATAATTGGTAAATATTTATTAATCTGCACTACTCGTGTTGACATCTAGTTGGTAAGAGATCATAGTAAGACTAAGATATCCGTTTGGAATGAAAGACAGAGTTATGGGCTACAATTCAACCTCTTTTATGGATCGAGCCCAACTAAAGTCTTCTGGACCTTTTCTTTAGGCCCACAGTGTTCTGTACGTCAAATTTTATAATTTTGCTTACTGATTTTGATTTATTAGAACAAATCCGACATCTTGTATTTTCATCTTAAACAACCCATATTAACGATTTTGTGAATTGACGCCATATTTAAGTATTATAGAGATGTAAAGTTTTTTTATTTATTTATCAATAGTCTTGAGTTTAAAAAAACTCAATTATATAAGAATTGAGTTTATATATATATATATATATATAACATTGTGTGATAATAACTGTTAGTTATAGTTGTAGACATAATCTATTAACGATGATGAGGATGTTTGTATTTAAGTTTTTTAGCAAGTGGAAGTTGTTTTTAATGAAAATTAGTTGGAATTAAGTTAATTTAGAAAACCTGAATGTAGTAACACATTATTTAAAGAAACTCAATTGTTATTGACAGTTGAATCAATAAATACTGGTATAGAAATATATGCATATAATCCCAATTCAATAAAAGTTTAAAACGAGAGAGAGAGAGAGAGAGATTAAATGAAGAATGGTAAAAGTTGAGGAGAAATATCTGGCCGACATATGGGTGAGTGAGTGGGAAAGCGTCCAAAAAACGGAGTAATTGCGCCATCGGATCTTCAAATACATCTCTGCCGTCCGTTCATTACCTCACATCTCATCTCAGCCCTTCACTGTCACCCACTCCCCCTCACGTTTTTAAAATCTTTCCGCCACAAACGCGCGTTGGGACCACGTGCCATCCACTTTCCCACGCCACAAAATAACAGCCGCAACTTCAAATATAAGAAGACTATACCTTTAATCCTTAACTTTTTATATCTAAATTTTTATTTTTTATTTGATTAAATTTATTCTGCGGTTAAAAAAATTATATTAATCTTTATGGGTAACCAACATTAATAATAATTCTCAATTTATTAATTTAATGAGTACTTATTCAAAGGAGAGTAAACTCTTTGTGAAAGAAAATATTAATATTCAGCAACAAAATTAATAAATTTAATTAAATTCAGGATTTAATTAACGCGAAGGAATAAAAAGTACGTGAGACAATTCTTATATAACTTAAAATCTGCATACAATTAAATTAAATTTTATTTAAAGAATTCATATAATTATTACCACAAAACAGGGCAGTTATAATGACACAAAAATTAAATCAATGTCGTTTTTTGTATGTCTTTTAAAACCAATATTTAGATTGAGATTCACGTCATTTTAACATTAAAAACAAACTACATCAAATTTAATTAAAAGAAATGTTGTTTAAATCTTGATCGAGTCTAATTTTTTACAATGATTCACTAAGATTGAGACAGTTTTAAAGTTAGGTTCGTCTGAAAAGAAAAAACATATATAAATATAACGTGTATAAATTGAGCAATATTAGCATTAAAAAGCTATATAATTTTAAATAATAAAAAAAAGATAATTAATATTGAAATTTCGTGACTCTCAAATCTTTACTCGTATTTATGATGCAAGATAAATATTAATTTTGCACAGATATTTATTGAGTCTGACAAATTTTCTCATCTTAAAATATAGCATGATCTTTCTCTTTAATGAAATTTTTTTAAAAATAAATTATGTAACTCAATCAAGAAAACAAGGGTTTTAAAAACTGTATCATTAAAAATAGATATCCTACTTATAATACAGAGCTAAATGTTTATTCATGTATCGTGAATTAAGCTGTGTATATTACACATACATTGAAATTCATTTAAATTTGGTTATAATTTATAATACATGTTTTGGTTAGTTTTGCATGGAGTGTATTTTATCATGTAACTTGTACTCTCAAGGTCAATTCTGTGTTGATCCAACAGAGAAACGGTATTGCAAATAAAATAAATGATCAATGTGTGTTATCTAAAAGTTTTTAATTTAAGACCTTATCAATGAAATTGACTTTTTAATTTCAAACCTAAATAAAATTGATCATACCATCTTATCGAATATATCAAACTCTCTCGTTCAGCTCACCGACAATGCCACCTATTGCATGGTACTATCCCAGTTATTCTCAAATGTTGCCTAGCTTGAGGCACCTATGACCTACCAATTAGGGATTAAGTTTTGACGTTCGTAGTTTTCTTAACCTTATAAATATTAGGTGCTTATTTTTCTCAATCTCGATAACAGAAAAAAAGAACTTAAATATATTTCTAGCTAATGCATTTTAACATTTTTTAGTTTTAATTTTACTAAACAACAACAAAATCATCAGCTTCAAACTACATGTACAACTGTATATGTGAGAGGGAAAAAGTACCTCAATTTCTATAACTGGGTTGCCCTACTAGAGACTATAAAATAACTTCTGATATTGATAATAAATAATTGCATTTTATATTTATTAATAAAATAAGTTTTATGCATCTTACGTTGGCCTGCATTTTGGTATAATGTTAATGCTTGAGAGGTTCATGGGGTGAAACTCTTCCTTTCACTCGTAATTTTAGATTAATTGAGCATATTGGGTAGTTGAAAATCAAACTTATTTTTTATAATTTTTAGATGTATCTCCGTAATCATATATACAAACATGTATTATATTTTTATTGTATTGGACATAATATTGTAAATGTATAAATATTTACCATGTTAACGTAAAATGGGAAACTCACCTTACCCAAAATAATTAAAATGGGAACTTCAACCTATTTTTATATGGTATATTAAGGCAAATTATTTCTAAGATTAATTTAAGCACCCAGAATTATTAACTGACTTTGTTAGTATTTTGATTTTGAAGAATGATCTCGAAGGAACTTAAGATAGATGACGCATAGCGGACATACTTAGTAAATGACTAACGATAAACACTCATCACATATTATTATTAACTGTCTAATCAAAATAAATCTGAAAATAAAGTGCCGAGTGCTTTAAAATATATATATATATATATATATATATATATATATATATATATAATTTGTCTGGCACATTGGCCATTTTGGTTTCCTTTTAAAATACTTTTAACATGTACGAACTGTCGCAACATTTGCTGTCTAATTATACTTTGTTTGAAAAATAAAAAAAGAAGCAAAATATTTTTATTCAATGATAAAATATATTTTCTGAAACCAGAGATCAGACATTATAAATCACTCTTAATTACCATTTAATACTAAGCTAAAAAACAGTTGAATGCATTGTTTATTTGCAATAAAATTAAAAAAAGAGTAATAATTAATGTCATTGATAGTGTTCAGGTTTTGCTAACATTAACATCTGAAGACAAGGGAAAAATATATAAAACCCAGATCATGATAATTAACACTCTGTATTATGATAATTACGTTATTTAGCTCCTAGACAAAGAATGCATTGAAACAATTATGCGTGTCTTTGGAATATATTCTTACTCGTTCGCTGTCATGAGTGCAACATTATGATAAAAATGAAAACGTTACACCAAGTTGCAGAGTAACATAACTGTAGAATGGTATAAAATGCAGACTAGAAAATCTGTATTGCATGAGACAAAATAAGTAATTAAGAGGAGAAAGAACAAAAAATTGTTAAATATAACAGAAAAAATATATTTTTTATTTGTGTTTATAAATTATACACATAATTTTGCATCTTTGAACGTGTACCTCTTAACTACAATGATAAAAAAAAGTCACCACAGTAAATAACTTTACCAATTTGAGCTGCATTTTTACTACAAAAATAAACAATTGCAATAAATTACACAAAAGTGAGTTTGTATTAAAAATAGAGGAAAAAAGAAAACCTAAAACACCATTGAAATTAATCATTAGGTCTAGACGTACAAGCAATGAGCAGGTGTATGTCTTGCAAATCAAAAGACGGAATATTTATATATAATATTAATCATTTTTACTAAAGTTCTCATTAGATGTATTTTTTATTTAATTACTTCATTTAGCATAATTTTATTAATTTTTTTGTTTTATGTATATGTTTTTTTTTATCTTTTCATGTTTTTAATATTTTAGATATTTTTATGTTAAAAATTTGAATAAGTTGCTACTTATTATTTTTACAAATTTATAATTTTAAGTTATTACTTCAGCTTTTTTTTAATAAAAATTTTGATCTGTTTCCCGACTTTTCATGTTTTTAAAATTTTTAATTATTTTTTAAATGATACTTATTTTTAAAAATTGTAATAAATAGAATAAATAAACATTTTTAACAAGTTATATAAACTATTATTTTATTATATATATATTAATCTCAAATAGATAAATATATAAACTATATATTCATATGGTATTCATTGGTTGTTATTTGTAATTTATTATTTATTTGTTGGTGTTACAAATAATATTTAAATTGTTGTTTTACTTTTTCGTGATAAAGAAAAATCAATGAAAATCTATTATCTAAATTGCTATTTAAGATGAATAATAAAGTTTTTTATTTTTTCTTAAAACATTAATAAAGATAAACAACTCACATTTAAAATTAAGTTCTAATAAATTTTTAATTATATTTAAAATTAATTATCCAAAGTAGTTTTGTGTTGTTGGGTACAAAAAAATAATGTTAAAAAGGAAAAAAAATCATATCTAATATTTTTTTTATATAATTTATGATGAGTATTAATGCATTTTTTTGTAAATATAAAATAAAAAGTGTAATACTTGAAATATGTTATATATATATATAAAAGATGATACATTTCACAAGTTTTGAGTTTTTTTATTTTATATGTGCAAAAAAAGTTGATATCAATTGGTTATAATTTTTTAACAAATTATTTTAAAAATTTAAATTTAATTATCTGATTTTTTTATTTAATTTATAATACATTTGCTTCCATGATATTTCTCAAACTTTTTGATATAGGTTTTTAGCTACGAGGTGAGAGTTTTAAACATGGATTTAGCATTGAGGGAAAAAACAGTTTAAAGTACTGTAATTTAATAATTTTACAATAACTTAAAAGATAAAATAAATTTATATAAAAACATCGATATGAAAAGAATTGGATGACTCAATTGAATGCAAGAATTACAAAACCAAATTAAATTAAAAACTAAAGCTTGTTGAGTTAAAAAGAAACTTAAAAAAATCAGGATGAAAATAGATAATTTTGACAAAATTGTACTTGGAACATGCGGAGAGAAAAAGAATGAGTAATTTGCATCTATTCTGTGGAAGTAACAGATGACAAAAACTACTTTGTGATAGCCAATGAGCTTTGAACATAAAGTGAAATTTCATTGCACAATTAAGAGGGGAAGGAATCTGAATCTAAATGGAAAGAGATGAATAATCTGTTTCCATTGAGGTTTGGTGATCTTTATGGCGAATGTTGGATGCTTTTATTTATCAGATGAAAGATTTTGCGCAGCTGAAAGTGATAAGAACTTGATAGAACCAAAAGTCCACTAGTGTATGGGAAAGGATCCCAAAATCCTACAGTAACATAGTGGTAATTTCCTGTGACCTTTTTACCACTTTTAAGGAAGATCTCCTTTTATAAGCCACGTGGAGCCAATAGGAACCATCTAATGCTCCTTTTTGCATCAGCGACAACCCTGTCCTCGACCCTCAGGATTAACTAATTAATTACCTAAATAAATTAATCAAACTCCTCATTACTTTTTTATTAACTCTAATACAAAAGGACAAATCTGTCATATCTCTCCTATTGTATTGACTCTCCCTCGCACTTGGGCACCACCACAAGCTCAAGCTAAAGTTCAAGGACATTTGGAAACCCTTTTCTTCATGCTCCAAATATCTCACTCCAACTATGGATTGCATACAATACATATCTATTATTTTTTAGAAAAGTATTTTTCAAATCTTAATCTTTTACTTAGATTTTTCATTCCTAAATTATAATTGACTATGAAACAAAATAGAAAGAAATTATTATTGTTATTATTATTTATTATTACTATTTTAGTAATTTTACGAGATGTTTGGCGCGTACATAAATAAACCAACAATCCCTCTCCCCCACCAATGAAAAGAGCATTTCTCATAGAACGGAAAGAAAAAGATCAAAAAATAAAAAGAAAAACAGAAAGAGAGAGAGAGAGAGAGACCAAACTAATAGTGTAGAAGAAACAGAGCGCTGTGTGTGTGTGGGGGTGTGGGTGTGGGTGTGGGTGTGGGTGTGTGCGTGTGTGAGAAAGAGAGAGAAACCCCAGAAAATCCCAAACAGTTTCTCACTCTTTTGATCGGAACCTTTCATTCTGCGTTCAGATTGCGCCTCCTTTCCCTGTTTGGTCCGTACAATGGAGCGGTACGGCCGAGCCAGCGAAGGGTCGCAGTCTGATCCGTCGCCGGAATGGACCGTCGCCGGTGGAGACACAGGTCTCGAAGGTGACTCTATCTGCATTCTATACTGTTCCGTTCAGTTTGTTCTCCCTTACGCGATTTTTGATTTGCGCAGAATGTGGAGTGTAATGGAAGTGGGTTTTGATCTTGATTTTGTGAATGCAGAGTCCTCGTGGCAACCGGGATTTGCCGCCGGCGAATCGTACCCTCTGCGTCCTGACGAGGCTGATTGTATCTACTATTTGAGGACCGGTTCTTGCGGTTACGGTTCGCGGTGTCGCTTCAACCATCCTCCTAAGCGTGCCTCTGTTAATTTCTTCTTCTTAATGTTTTGTTTGTGCTTTGCTTTGAGGGTTTTGTTTGGTTCCTCGCTTGATCACGGCTTTTATGTTTATGTTTGTGTTTGTGTCCAATTACTTTTGATCTTGGCTCTGTGCGCTTTTTTATGGTTAACCTTCAACAGTTGCTGTTCAGTTCATTCAATTTTACTTGTGTTATATGTTAATTTCACTTAATTATGTGAGATTAATGAGTCTGCATTGGATAGTACGATCGAATGTTTCCTAATTTGGGGATATTTATTTGTTTGTGTGCTGCTTAGGTTATTGGAGCTGGGACGAGGACTGGAGGGGAGTATCCAGAGCGAGTGGGACAGCCTGTGTGCCAGGTTTTTAATCTGGCTTTGATAAATTATGTGTTGTAGTTATACTAAATTGTTGCATTTGATAGCTGATACTGTAATTCCTTCCTGTTTCACAAAATAGTGTGTTTGGAAAGTCTTTTCGTGTGTGTGTGAAGGCTTGGGTGAAATTGACTTCGATTTTTTGTTTTCGTTATCTTAAATGTTGGTGACAGTCCTTATGTACTGGTTGTATCTTCTCATACTTAAACTGCAGTATTATATGAGGACTGGATCATGCAAATTTGGTGCATCCTGCAAGTATCACCATCCTAGGCAGGCAGCAGGCACTGCTAACCCTGTGTCACTAAATTATTATGGATATCCATTGCGAATGGTCTGTATCACTTTATATTTGTTGCATAAAATTATGTGTTTTATGAATGTTGGGATCACCTTTCTCTAATGATGACAGAATTTTTATCCAAACTTGAATTTTTAAAACGATAACAGGGTGAGAAAGAGTGTTCCTATTATGTGAAGACAGGACACTGCAAGTTTGGTGCAACTTGTAAATTCCATCATCCACAGCCTGCTGGCGTCCAAATTGTAGCACCGTCACCAGTTCCCCCAGTTTCACCTCTTCCGGTACCAGTACCTTCACCAATATATCCAACTGTACAGTCCCCATCTGGTCCTTCATCACAACAATATGGTGTATTTGTTGCAAGGCCTCCTATGCTACCTGGCTCAGTAGTCCAGGGCCCCTATGGGCCTGTTGTAGTGTCCCCTGCCATGGTCCCTTTTTCTGGCTGGGGTCCTTACCAGGTAGATCCTCTGTTTCTTGTTAACTGATTACTCAAACACAAGTTATATTTACATTCATTGAAGCTGTTAAGCACTTGGTGCAGGCTCCTGCAACAAGCCCTGTACTTCCTTCTAGTACTCCATCTAGTGTTGGTTCAACACAGATTTATGGGATTACCCAGCTACCTTCATCAGCAACAGGCTATACTGGACCTTATCAACCTTCCGGTCCCTCAATTGGTTCTTTGGGCACTAGTCAGAAGGAGCATCCATTTCCAGAAAGGCCTGATCAACCAGAATGTCATTATTACATGAAAACAGGGGAGTGTAAATTTGGTCCATCATGTAGATATCATCATCCACCAGACAAGAGTGCACCAAAAGCAAATGTGATCCTTAGTCCTGTGGGCCTTCCTCTGCGTCCGGTAATTTCAACTCCTTTCTTTTTGGTGCTTTATATTGGGTTTTGACTAACATATCCTTGATTAATATCCCCTTTCCTACCAAACTTTATGGTATCCGTTGATTAAGATAGCAAACTGAGGTATAATAAAAGTAACTTCCTAAGGCTGTTGCATCATGCATGCATGCATTTTTTATGATTGCTTTTATGTAGGATTCTAACCCTGCTTTACTGAACTTAAAAGTTTTATTTTCATTTCAATTCATCATTGAAAGAAAATCACAGCAGGAGCCATTTTTGTTGTTCTTGTTCATTGGTTCTTATTTTATGCTAAATATTTTCTGGGATGGTTATCTTTTACGTTTCTATTTCATGTATTATGCTTTCATGTTGGGCTATACATGCCTGTTGGTTTATTATTTCCACTTTTTATCATATTGGAATTCCCATCTTGTACTACATTCAGTATAAGTGTGCTTCTAGTTCCTTTCGTTAGGCATAGGTTTTGTTAAAAATTAGTTTGTCACTGTGGCTGTGCCCAAGGACTTCGTAAGTAAGCTCCTCTATCAATTCTGTTGATATGGACATGTTCTTTGACAGGGCAGGGCATTGCATATTATGTAGTATGAACTCTTGAATGATTGAAACTTTTAGTGATTCATCTTTAAATATGGATGATAATACTGAAACACACTACTTTCTCAAGATTGAGGTAATGTTACTTCCATTGTATTTTAATGTAATGCTTCTTATTGACAGGTTTTAGCTACATACAGGTCCTTACCATTTTGTTGATTTTTCAAATATGTTCTTGATAGTTTGAAAGCTTTAAATGTGATCCCTATGCTACAAAATTTTTTTGAACAGCTTCCTGCTGGTTGCTAGAACTTGGCCTCTATTCATGGGTGTTTACAATCATCTGCTAGCCATTTTTCTGTTGCAGGTTTCAGGAACCTAAGTATAAAATTTTGTTATCAAAAGGGGTCTAAGTAAATACGCAAAATATAGAAACGTATTAAAAATTTTTTGTAGAACTATACGGACTTATAATGTTATTTAACCTTATTAATATTTCTAAAAGTTAGTTACCTAGTTTCAGTAAAGGATATGATTTGAAAGTTTATTTGGGTAGGTGTTTGTTTTCATATATTTTTCAATAAACATTATTATTTTAAATTTTTTTCCCTCTAGTTTATATATCATTTTGTGCTTTTCAGGTCCTTGTTCCTCAACTTGTTACTAAATGCATCATAGTTTATGCATCTGCCATGGCATCAGTGGACAGTGGTTTCCTTGTCTGATTTAGATGAGATAACACGTGTTATTTCCTTCTTATTTTCATTTATATTGGATGTTTATCATTTATAAAGCTAAGGTTCTGGCAGTTGGAGCATTCTATATTCTTTTCCTTAATTGCATGATTGAAATTTATTTCTATTATGAAATGGCTTTCCAATATAAAGTTGTGACACAAGACCATAAGTATATTGGCTGTTCTTTGTATGGAGTTGGTTGCCACCAGTGTGCATTTGCCTGAAATCTTTGACAGTGATGTGAATTTTGTGCTCCAGGTTTCCATGTTTTGTGTATAATAGATGTGCATATGCTTTGTTCTCTGTTGTTCCTCTCAAATTTGTTCCCAGACTAGCTTGAGTTGCTCAAACTTTGTTTTCATGAGTAAATTTGATCTTTTGTTCTTGTGATTTTCTTATTTTTCATGTTACAAGTATATGTGTGACTATTCATGGCACAATTCCTTGTATTATTTGATGTGGCCATTTTCAGTTTTCATAGATTAATGGTTGTTTTGGCTATTATTTCTGTCTTAATGCTGTAGTATTTCATCTTTGGCCCGTGGTTGAAGAATAGGCTAGTGTCGTACTGTATTTTGATTCATTATGACTTCAGTTGTTTAGATAACTGTCACTGCAATGATAAATTTGTCTGTTCTGTTGAAATGTTTTTCAAAAAGCTTTTGTCTGATTACATTCATAAATTCGTAATTGTGAAGTATTCAATGTTTGTGTTTGATAATCAGGGGGCACCACCTTGCACTCATTATACACAGCGTGGAGTTTGTAAGTTTGGTTCTGCATGCAAATTTGATCATCCTATGGGATCACTGAGTTATAGTCCATCTGCCTCGTCCCTGGCTGATATGCCGGTTGCACCTTATCCTGTGGGTTCTGCAATTGGTACTCTTGCACCATCATCTTCATCATCAGAATTGCGGCCTGAACTTGGTGCAGGATCTAGCAAGGAGTCTGTTTCATCCAGAATGTCTTCATCAATGAGCACATCGACTGCATCAGTTGGCTTGACCTTGTCAACTGCTGGAGCCGTTTCTCAGTCAAGCACTCAACCATCTGCTCAGAGTTCCAGTTCTTCTACAACTACCAATGCCACCACAAGTAGCACTGTCTCTCACACCTCAAGCTAAGCAATGTGAATGCATTCCTCATTATTACTCCTTTTTATCTCAATTTTTCAACCGACCATCATTACTCAAGGAGGTTCTCAAATAGGTTTTATTTTTCAATTATCTCAGTTCCAGATTCAGGTCTAGCACACATTGCACCAATTGTCTCTGTTTATATAATCTTTTTGTGGCCATCTCCTTGATCTTGAATAAACCGTGGCCAACCTTGAGAATTTTAGCAACCCATACATGCACCTTGGTTTTGAATAACTTCAAAAGAATCTGCAAGTCCATTATGCACATGTCCATCCACATCTCCAATTTTCGTAGTTTGTTGTGCTTATTTATGCTCAATCTTTTTTTATATGAGAAAATTTCTACTCGGAGTTTCATTGACCATGTGTAATCTCTCTTCACCTGAACCCTTTTTTTGCATTTGGGAATAATATCTTATTCGGGCTGAAGGTCCTATTCGGTACTGTTCCCAACTTATTTAAAAGGCTTACTGTGAAGAGAAGTAATCAGGAGACCACAATGAGGCTTCACATTGCTATCTTTTATGATTTTAGACACACGGTGATGTTGTGACAAGTGAAATGCTTGACTTGGTACTTAAATTTATTACAGAATATATATGAAGAAACGCATTTAAATTAACACATTTGAATGTGTAATAATCTCTTTTTCTCCTTTTCTGACATTTTACTCGGTCAAGCTTCCGTGTCTCAGGTGATTTTTCTGGAGGGATTTTTAGTTTTGGTTTCATCACCCCTCCCCCATTATATTTGGATATGTTTGTTGTAAGATGACTGTATTATAAATAGAATACACTACTCAAGTTAAAGGGCGCACCGGGGCATGCGTTATACTACGGAATTCAGAGCCGAAAACCAAGTGCATGCTTTCTTAGCCACTTCAAAATGAAGTTTTAATACAAGGGTAGTGCACCTGACCAACTGAAACTGACGTGGCACCGAAAAGAAATCTCTACAGATTAACCTTTAAGAGTGAAATATGAAATTGGTCTTAAGAGTTTATTTTCCTGTCTAAAAGGAGTTTGTGATTAGCCATACGAAAAAGTTCTTCTTTGATCTATTAAAAAGGTATCTATGATACTTAGTATGTCTATAATTGGCTCGTTGAATTTTTTTACCAACGATTCAAGACAACTGACGAGATCGGAAAAAAGACAAATAAAAACAGTTTTGAAACAGGACTTAATGTGGAATCTGTTAGTTTTTCATAATACTGGGGGTCCTATGCAATAATAACATGTTTTCTGACGAGAACGTTGCCAAATGTTTAATGCAATATCTGCATATATAGCTTTATAGCATAATCCTCCTCAATTCAACATTGGACTGTTACAATGTGCAATCCAATTTTATAGTTTATTTATTAGAGATTAAATTTCTACAAATAATTACTTTTCATTTAAAAAAATTAGAACCATTGGTTTATATCATGGGATAGGATCATTTGAACGCCTTCAATAAATGCTTATTAAAAATATCAGCGTAACCATTAAATTTAGAATTCTTATAAACAAATTAACTCCACAAAATATCCTAATTTAAAAAACTAATTTTTAATCACACTACTTTACCATTAATATTTAATATGCCATTTAAAAATGTGTGAATATAACAGTGAGAGTGATTTGTAAAAAAAATTTAAAGTTTGATATACATAATCATCATATAATTCAAAGTTTATATTAATAAAATTTATTGCTTATATAAACAATTATTAAAAGTATTAAATTCATCCTCTAGGGTCAATTGGTGTTCTCTCTCTTCATATCTAAGGAGTGTTGATGGCGGGACATGGCTATGCTATACATAACAATTAGAGCACTGATAACTATTCAAAGTTGTTATTTAGTTTCGGTATAGTTTTGTAGTAATCAAATCCTGAACTTCAATTCTCTTTCTTTAAGAAAAAAAAATTGGACATCTAGTTCTACGTGGATCACCATGAACTTGAAGGCTTCAACCGGTAATTTTGTTTAATCCAAAGATAAAAATAAAAAATGAAAAAGTGCACTTGACAAGATTTGGGATGCTTGGCTGTCCTGCTACCTAACCATGACATTGCTTCAAGCATAGAGTTGTCTTAAAAATTAAACTTCTTTTATAGAAGATTATAAAAAGAAAAGGAAAAGGAAAAGAGAAAAGAAGGAAAAACAACTCATTATCTAATCAATCAATAGTCAGCAAAAGGGAATGTACTGCAAGCAATAGATTAGAATCGCGGGTTATTGGCTTGACAATATGTCTTTCTGTGAACCTATGCTGTTTGATGGATATGGTTGTGCCTTTATTGTAGCCTAAAGTTAAGGCAACTAGCCGAAAAGATGGATAAAATCATGCTATCAATGTGCATCCATATATATAATATAAATAATAAATAACAATAACTCGGAGCATCACAGGAATGACTTTCCATTGATTTGAAAGTGAGAGATGGTAGTGTAGCTTTTTTTCAACATCTTAAAACCTAAAGAGCTCACACCATGTGTGCAATTTAGTAATTACATTAGAAGCAGCAAAAGGCTTGCTAGACCCAAGTTACAAGATAAATAAAAAACGTACTAGTGCATGCAAGTACACAAGGGCTAAGACACACTCCTTGATAAATGCACCCTCAGAAGAGTGGGTATCCCAAGTCTACGTCCCCAAAGGGTGGAAGTGATGGAGAACAATTAGTTGAAGAAGCAGCTTGATTCAATAGGCCATAGCTTGGACTTGGACTATCCGTGATGGGGTACAGTGTATCCATGCACCCATCTTCAACACTTAATGGGTTATTAAATATAGCTGAAAGTTCACTGCTATTCCAATCCCATGAGTGCTGATCATCCCAGAATCCTTGACTTGGAAAAGAAAATTCTGAAAAGTTAGATTCCCTTGGTGGCATTTTCATGGTTTCTTTAGAGAATGAAGTCATGTCAGCGTGTGGTGGATGACTCTCCATGGAGTTTTTGTTGATTGAGCTAACCTTTTGATCACTTGAGGCACTCACATTGCTCTTTCTGGAGTTTGATGAACTGTTGGTACTGGAAGAGGCAGGTCTGAAACAGTTATCAGGAACAATGCATTCAAGATAGCCCGAGTTAGAAGAATCATTGGAAAAGAAAAAATTATCATCCGTAGCTGACCCAAATGCGGTTTCAACACACACGTCATTGTTCAGCATGGAGGGGTTTGCACAGTTTGAAGTATGAAGCTGAGAGAGGCTATTTTGATTGGTTGGTTGTTTGATATGAGTGTTAGTGAGGAGCTGAGAAGCTGGCAAGAGAGATTGAGCATCCATGGGAGAAAGGAGAGAGTGAAAGTTGATGTTGTCAGTGTAAACAAAGTTGGTTCTTGCTTGGCTTCCTTTCATGGAGAGAGCAGCTCTGTCATAAGCAAGAGCTGCTTCTTGAGCAGTGTCAAATGTGCCAAGCCAATGCCTTTCTTTGGTTGAAGGGTCTCTAATTTCAGCAGCATAGCGACCCCAAGGGCGCCTCCTCACTCCAAGAAACCTTCCTGGTTCTGCTTGTTTCCTTCTGCCTCTTCTCTCACCACACGGAGATGTGTTGCGTTGAAGGAGTGATAGGCACATTTGGGTTTGGTTTGGATCATATCCTTTGAAGGGTGTATCTGAGGTTCTAGAGGTTGACATGGCTAGGAAAATGGGAAATAAAATGTGGGTTGAATGAGTTGAGAAAATGTAAGGTAGCTATGGGAAGTTAAATAGTGCCAAATGAAGAGAGTACAGAAGAGAATGGGGACACTGCAGAGGGTAGGAGCAGTGAAGGTTATGTTATGATATGATGAATTGGAGAAGTCTTTTAAAGACTGTGACTTGATCATGGAGAGAAGAAAAAGGACATTTTGCAGATGTCATTCTTTGAAAGACCAATAGACCATCCTCTCCCCTTTCCACCTACTTTTTAAATCTTTCTTTTTCTTATTTCTATTAAATCTCTACTTCTCCGTCCCATTTACTTAACACTCACAACTAAACAGTGAAAATAAAGATTCCTTTCACTTGTCAACTACTTTAAATGGGGCTCTACACACTGCACTTTTGAGTTCTTATTTCTTTGCAACAGTCACTTTCTTCCTAGTTCCAACGACACTAAAATGTGTTTTCTGTATCTTAGCAATAATAAGATCAAATTACCTTAGTGTTCAAACATGGTGAATAATGTAAAAGTTAATGAGCTAATTATTACATCAGGTCTATGCAAGGTATTGGGATTTGATAAGGATTGACAAAATTAAATCTCTATGCATATCAGTTCACGTGTAAAGGCCCAGCTAATCAACTAACTACCTGGAATTGACCTGGTAAGCCTCTGTTGCGCTCTTTTCAATACAAGGAAAAAATAATGAAAAAAATAAGGCATACTTCTTCACCAATGTCACTATTTTTATTTTTTTTATTTATGTACAAAGAAATCAAACATGAAATTTCTACCTTAATTTTTGCTCTAGACCTGATAGATATTGACCTAATAAGGTTTGTTTTTTGAGATAATACATATAATGCTATTTTTGTAGAACTTTCCTGGATGACTGAATGATTGGGACAAATGAAATCTTATTATTCTTGAATCAATCACAGACAAAACCAGAAAAGAAAACAACTGCGTGGTTTTGTCTACATGCTCCTAGAGAGTCTCAAATATTTGAATTAGGAGGTACTAATCTTAGCATGACATTCACTAGCTGCATGTATTATGCACATGTGAATCCGCGTTTTATGCAAAATAATCAACCAATTACATCGAAGTTCTTGTTTGCTTCATGATTTTCAAAGGGAGCAGTTAAAATTATCTCTACCTACACACAAAAATTATCTAAGAATTTTAGATATTGTATGAGGCTTCCCTGTCTTGTGTCACGGAAACAACCCCACCCTGGAATACAAAATAAAAACTTCCCTTTTAAAGGGCCCACTAGACAAATTTTTAACCTTGTTTGTCCTACATATGCTTCACGTATCAATTATAGATTTTTTTTTTTTTCTTTTGGTAATCAATCGTAGAATTTTTAATTCTAGTATAAGATTTTATTTGTGCCAAACTGATCATAGCAGTTGACCATGGTCCTAGTTCTTAATAATGCTATAGTAGTGCCCTGTTATGATTATGTGGCTCAGCCAGGTAAGACTGTTGAGCAACATCTTTGTCTAAAACTAAAACTCATTAAAAGCGTGGATCAGATTTCATTTACTGTGGTCCGTCATGCCGAAACACATTTATAATTCCCAGCAGAGTTGAGTTGATTTTAAAACACATTATTATGTGGTAGTTTGGACCTTTCAAAGACAAATAAATTTGTCTATTGCAGAAGATCTGCTAACAACTCTCCTATTGCTATACAGATTATACACAAATTTTGATGGTAGTCATTTTAGACTAAGATATCCTTGTGAATTTACACTGCAAAGTTTAAGGCCAGCGGAGAAAATGGTTGATGGCACAAAATTTAGATGACAAAAACATTGAATACATGTTTCCTGTAAAATGCCTTTTAGGTTAATCACCTTTACTATCTCTGATCTCCAAAAGCCACTATATAAAAAGGTTGTAGTCAAAAGGGCAATGAAAAGTTTAAAGGACCCTTGCAATTTGAGTTGGATTAAACCGCCCCACAAAGCTAAAGCAAAGTGGGGCACATTTTTATTTCACAGTTCCTACAAGGAAAGCATAATTTTAGTAGTCCCATTAATTAGCCTGCAATCACATGCCTATATAGCATTGGAAATAGCACAACACTAATCATGTCAAATGGGTCAAACCGTCTTGTTCTCAGCATATTTCCTAGTGCCAAAATGTTTTGCAACTATCAATAGCATGTTGTCTCATGTAAACTTGTTTCAGACCCACAACGCTGTGTAAACAATGGAGTGAAAAATATTCAAAAGATAGAGATGTCACACGGATTCAACTGCATTTGTTTAAGATTAATTAGTCATTTGTGTTTCTTAATTGATTGAGTTTTGAATCTAAGACCCTTGACTCCTCCACTAAAGATTCCAACGCAGAAAGATAGTTTGTTAGCTCCATTTGGGGCCCAGAGTGAAAGGGCAAAATATTCATATTATGCATAGTATCATGGTGCTCTCGTGTACCAAGACAACTTAATGACTTAAAATATGGAAAGACACCAATAGAAAGTTCAAAAAATGAGCATGGAGTTTTTTCCTTGTCTTAATTTTCCATTAACAAGATTGTTTTCATTGCAACATTCTGTTCCTAGGTCAGTGTAAGGTTAAAAATACCAGCCTAATTATGAGTGACATAATGATTCAATTCAACAGAGGAAGAAGAGACAGTACAGGGAATGAAATGGTGTGGGATGTGTTCCATTCTTCGTATGGAAGGTTTTGGAACTTGCCATTAAGAAAAAAAAATAAAGGTTAGTCAATGGCCATCTCAAAAGATGTGACTTTCAAGCTGGGTTGGCAAAGGGTACATTTTGACAAAGTACTTTAGACATCCCTAAAATAGATGTTTTTCTTCCATAATGACCAAACAAGACCACAAAGAAACATGGCTCTCTCTCTCTCTCTCTCTCTCTCTCCCTATGTTTATTTTATTTTTTCTAAGATGGTTTTTAGCATGTAACTTTTTATGGTCAGAATGGAATTGTGCACATTCTCCAAAACTGGCACACACTTTTTTGCTAATGTTAAAGGTCGTCCGGGATTTAGGGAAAAAGATAAGCATGTTTTTTAGGGCTTGGGATTTTGACCTAATGGTGTTTGAGTGACAAATGTTCTATTAACCACTTTTCCTTCAACTTGTCCCATGTTAGCTTTTGCTGCTGCTACTTCTTTCCGCTCAAATGCAACACTTGTGTCTTCCCACGAGCTATTGTTTTTAGATTTTAAACCCTCTTCTCTTCTTTTGTAAGTGTTTTCTGTCTCACCACCACCCCCTCTATGAATTATTGTTGCTTTAGTCTAAGTTCCATTATAATATTGTAAGAGTCACGTGATTAGTGACAAAAATAGGCACTTTTTTATGCAAATTATAAACCATTACAATTAGAGAAATAGATGGTTGATATATATATTTTTTATTTACATTGATACCAAAACAGTTTAGTTTCAGGTAAGTTTTAATCTTTATATACGATGATGTAATTTTTTAAATCGTTTAATTTTGATCCTTTGTGTATGACTGTATGGTATAGATTTATTACTCTCATTCTTATGTAAAAATATTTCTCTCACTAAACATACCTATTTTGTATGCATATACAGGCAACATTTTTGGTGAGAATGTTATATATATATATATATATACGAATTAAATAAATAGATCTTTATCATCAGATTTTAATATTAAATAATTAGGATTAGAACATACATATTATTTAAAATTTTGTAAAAAAATAAATAACATTTTAAAGTAATTATTATAAAATGTGGTCATGTGATCCCCACCATAAAATGAACACGATTCTCTACTCAATGACGACAGAATGAGGTTGAGATAACAACTTATATGGCATTGATGGCTTGGTTCAAGAGACGAATGAAGGTGGCCTGGGGCCTAGAAGTTTTTTATGATAAAATTAGCTATAAATTTATAATTGATAATTCAAAGTTTATACTTAATACTTGGAAGTTTTAACTAATTAATTAGATTAACAAAATTAATTAAAATGTATTAAATTACTAAAAAATAATAATATTATTTTAAAAATGAATTATTTAAAAAGTTAAAAGGGCATTAAGGAAAAATTATAGCAAACTATAAAAATAACTTATAACTCTTAAAAACATATTTTAGCTTATTTTAACAAGGTTTTTCAACTTGTTTTTTTTTAATTATGGTTAATTTTATAAGAAATAATTTTATATAAAATTATTAAGTAATAGTTTAATTAAGTTCTATTTATTAATGCACTCTATATGTAAAAAAAATAAAATAATATTGAAAGCTAGTTTTCGATAAACTTTCATAAACTAGCCTTCAAGAGTACAACTTAAAAAAAATAGTTTATTAAATAGCTTACTAGTTTGTTGATCGCCAAAGTAAATTATAAATCTTTAGTTAAACTATAAATTATATTATCAAATACATTCGCAAATAAAAAAATGTAAAATATAGGAGAATGATGTTTATTTTGTGTAGAGGGTCAATTGAGCATCTTTAAATTTAAGTGAATCTTGTACATTAATTTTAATATGACAATTACTGTTATTATTATACGTTATTCACTATAAAAAAAAATTACTCTTTTGTGGTGGTTAAATTTTATCATTAATGGTAGTTTTAATTGTTTTTAAATATTTTTTTGATAGTTACAAAAATAACTTTAAAATTAGTTATGTAAAGTTTATAGTGATTTTACTACTAAGTTTTTAAATTTACAACAGTTATTCAGTGGTTGAAATTTAAATTTTAAACTGGGTGTGGCTTTGCTCTGTTTTTTGCTACTAAACTTTTTTTTCTTCTTATCTTATATTCAATTCTTATTTTTGCTATTTGTTTTCGAATTTGATTTTTTTTTTAACATCACAACATATATATTATACAATTTATAATATAGAGTCGTTAAAGAAAAATCATTTTTGGAGGAAGTAAAAATAATAATAAAAGATTGATGAGATTGTCACAGTTGAAGAAAACACTTTAACGGTGGCAACACTGATGGCAA